GTAAGAGGGACAAGGAGAATGGGAATATAATCAAAGGGTTAACTTGTTCAAGATACACTGCATGTATGGAATTATGACAATGAAATTACCTCACATTAAAAATAAATAAATAAATGTATACATACATATACATAAGAAAGAGGGGGAAATAAAACAAAAATAATTTAAAAAAAAATAAAAACCAACATCAGGTTTCCAGTTCCTGGGGGAGGTCAATCATGTGGGCAGCAGTGGAAGATCTTGACCTCTGCCATTAGGTCTTTATGGTGTGGACACTGTGGCTATGCACCCTTTGGTGAGAGCAGGGTTTGTGTGTTATTGTGCTTCCTCTGTTTTGTCTTTGTGGTGTTCACCTAGCAACCAAATGGTATGGCTTGTGGGCAGAGTTAGCTATGATTTCTCTCCACCATCCTTCTACTCATGGCTGGATGGGGCTAACCACAAGCTTTCTGCCTGCTGCTCCTAGTCTCCAAAGTCTGCTCATGGGACAGGGAAGCCCTATGGTGACACAGCGATCTGTGTCATAGCTGAACGCTTGTGTGATCCACCCTATGGGTCTCTGACTTTCTGCTACTTAGTCCGCACATTAATCACATGCAACCATTTGTTCCCCTTCCTGGAGTTCTGAAGGCTGGGTTCCCTACTTGATGGCCCAAATACAAAGCAACTCCAGCCAGTTTCCCCACCATGTGGAGTTCTCCAAAATTCTGATGTAAAGTCTCTCCCTGTAGCCTCACCAGCATTCCAGGTCAGCACTCTCATTGGATCCAGATCTGACCCTTGCTGAGAGCTCCCAGAGACAGAACAACGCAGGAGACTTTGATTTCTGAAGCTGAAGATCGGATAGGAGCCACTGAAATTGCTCCCACAACTGCATCACAACCACATACCAGCAAGAAGAGTGAACTTTCCCAGTGTTGATGTGCTATGCAGACTCCAGCACTGTTGTCTGGTTAGACTGCAAATCTGCTCAGTATTGAGAATAGTGTTAATTTCTGACTTAATTTCTGAGTTAATTTCTAAGAGTAAATTCAACCTGAGTTTTCCTTCCTTCCTTCCTTCCTTCTTTTCTTTCTTTCATCTCAGTTGCTGCCCTCTGCCTTCTGCTACAATGCTTCTACCAGTTCCATGTGCTGAAGCTCTCTTGCTATTCTGTTCTTTAAATTTTGTTTGTTTCTTTTGTTTCTTGTTATTGTTGGATTTTTTTGGGTTTGGTTGTGGGTTTTTTTTTTTTTGGTTTTTTTTTTTTTTTTGGTATAAGATTCTGTCTGTTCACAACTGAAACTACAGTGAGTGTTTTCTGGAACTCTGGCTCTTTCTTTCCTTAGACTCAGTTCCCACACCTTGCAGCTGGGCACTCTATGCTCTACACACTGAAGCAGTGTTTTAATCCCTCTGTTTTGCTCTCTAAGCTTTCTATGCTTTATAAGGTTCTATCTGTTGACTTTTGAAACTTCACTGCCTTCCCACCATCACCTACCTCAAAGGGTAGCTGCTCTCCAGCCATTCCAGTTCCATCCCCAGGAGATGCCAGCAATTGGTGGGTACCAGTAGTGCTCCATCTTCTTCCTTTTCTCCTTTATGCTTTCCTAGGCCTCCATATGCGTGTATGTGTTTCTTTGTTTAGCAAAACAAAGATACGTTATGATCATCAGAATTTATCTCTTTTAAATAAAGAAGTTAAAACCTCTCTCTTCCTCTCCAGAAGTTATTCAAAATGCACTGTTTTGCTTCCCACTCTGGGGAGCCCCTGATGTTGGGTGACTCATGCAACAATGATCTCAAATCTTACAGTCCAAGAAAAATCTGCAGTCAAGAGAGACTGAAGCCTGCAGTATTCACAAAAGCAAAGCAGATCACAGCCCAGTGGAGATGAAGAATATAAGCCAGAGTTAAGGAAACCAATGTCTTCTCCCTGCAGTCTAACACCATGACTGACTGTCTGCCCCAGAGAGAGGCTGTATGTTCGTGTTCGTCATCCTCACTGACGTGGGTCACAGCTGCAACAGTTAACCAGCCAGATCATACAACTTCTCCCTGCAGCCCCCAAAGCAGACTACTCTGGTTTCTGGGAGTCCGGAGAAAAAGAGACAATTCACATTGAATTTGAAACACTCTGTACTTACCTAGTGTCATTGCCTCTTGTGGATATTTGGGGTGTGAGGTCTTTTCCAAGGTGTTGGCAAAGAATATGACCAAGTCTGGGCTAGGGCATGGCTCAAGTGGCAGAGCAGCCTGCTAAGCTAGCATGAGGCCCTGAGCTTAACACCCAGTGAGACTGGAAGTTAAAAGATAGAAAATGGTCAGGCAAAACATGGACAGGGAGAACTTGATGAAAACTTACCAGGGACACAGAGACGAGGTAAATGTGTGGGAAGTCTGGGAAGTCTTAAAACTGTTTGCCAGGCCTTGAAACTACTAAGACATATGAGTGGTACACGAGCCATGCCGTGAAAGAATGTCTGGCTGGTGCACAGGACCTCAGGGCCATGGGAAGAGGAAGAGTTTTCCTGCAATGTCCATGGGCTGGCACAGATGTACATCCCTTGAATGAACCAATAACACAGAGACTCAATCAGCTTTCCTTTAACCAGGAAATAAAGTCCTTACAAAAACCTCTAGACAAAGAAACTCACGGGCTCAGTCTTTCTGAGATCCCTCCCATGTGTATGGGAGCTTTTCTACTCCTTTTCCTCTCAGCCTAAATAAAACTCAAAAGTTCTGCTCACTTATTCACCTTGGTGTCCATGATTTTTATTCCTCTACTATCTGAGACAAAGTTCCCAGCATCTACTGCAGCATGCCTGCACACCTGAGACCAGACCACTGCAACACCAGCACCCCCAAAAAAGAATATGATCAAGTCAATTGTCCTTTCTTCAAGGTTAATAGTGTCCATTCACCCTCACCCCTTTTCCCCATCTAGCTCCACCTGCCTTTGTCACTGCCAACCCCTCTTAGGTACTGCCATGCAAAACACATTGACTCCTATTTTGAATTCTGGAAACTTGGAAGAGATGGATTCATAGCAACTTGGTTGGATCTCAAAACATGGCTCTGAATGGAAAAAAAAAAGACAAATATCACGTTTCGTGTATTTACATACATTTTAAAATGCATTTGGGCTAGGAATGTAGCTCAGTGGTAGAGTGTTTGCCTAGCATATTCTGAGGCCTTAAGTTAGCACTCCAGCACTGCAAATAATGATAATGATAATAATAATAATAATATACATCTCATAAAAATTCATTCATTCCAAATAAAACACATTATATAAGAATACATTCTAAGCTCACCTTGCCCGCATCTTCCCAAGCCGTCTGGGCATGGGTGACTGGCAGCCCGGGGGTCCGGGGGCCCTCCTGGTTTCTCTGTTTAACATGAAGTAGAAATGCTCTGTGCTGGCTGGAGGTCAAAGTTTTGCCTCTTCTTGGTGGTTTTGCCTGCAAGGTGTGTCTCCAGTGTCTCTCCAAGATTTCACTATAGGAGGCTCGCTTTCTGCTTCCTCCCTCTAGCCACCATCTTGGATGGGGGGGAGAGGAAGGGGGTGGAGTGGGTGTTAAGGGAGGGGGTGGGGGCAGGGGGGAGAAATGACCCAAGCCTTGTATGCACATATGAATAATAAAACAATAAAAAAAATTTTAAAAGATTCAAGCCAGCCCCAGGCAAATAGTTCACAAGACCCTATCTCAAAAAACCAAACACAAAAAAGAACTGGTGGAGTGGCTCAAACTGTAACAGCATCTGCACAGCAAGCTTTAGACCCCAGTGCCACAAAAAAAAAAAGATTAAAAAATTCCTAACCCCCAGCCAAATCTACTAAATTAAATACTACATTGATTATTATGCACCTTAAAATGCATAAATAAAACTGGAACATCGAAATAGTTGAAATACACAGTAGCATTTAATCTGATTTCACTTTAAAATCATCTGAACTTTTTAAATACTGATGTATAGGCTCTACTCCAAGAGATTCTGACTTTTTGGGTCTGGCATTAATTTTTTTTGTCTTATTTTTGTTTTTCTGAAAGTTTCCAGTTCTAATGTGCAACCAAGAGCAGCAAAGCTTCAAGCAAGACCATGTCTTAAATTTTTTAAAAAGTAGAAAATTCTCAAACTAAATAAATGAAAGATTATCCAAAGGAAAAAAAAAAGAATACATTCTAGCACAAGAGTATAAGCTCACTAAGTGGTTGGCCTATGGGAACTGAAGTTAAAAAGAAGCAGAGTGATGAATGAGGATTTTCTTTTCCTCTGGCACTAGGCTTTTAACTCAGGGCTTCATGCTTGCTAGGCAGGCGCTATACCACTTGAGCCATTCCATCAGCCCACGAATGAGAATTTTAAAAATTAAAAATACTATAATAATAAAGCACACTAACCCTCAGTTCTCAACTCCTTGCCCCATTCAAGTAGTAAAAGGGCTCTAGAGAATTTACCTGGCTATTCAACTTCCCCTTTTCCTTTCCCATTGTCCCCTTCTCATCTCTAAAGCCTCAAACCAATTTCTTTATTCTCTCACTTTATGCAGATCCTCCTTTTTCTTGACATCCATGGTTTCTCATTCTTTGATCCCTTCAAACATATACTGAGCTTTCTCCCACCCCCATCACCATCCTCTGCAGAGAGAAACGTACCCTGGTGGAATACAAAACTAGTCCAAGTAACCTTTGCTTTGTCTACCTGTCTCCCGCTTCCCCTCCCCTGCCAGTTCTTCCTCTCTCTTCCCTCCCTTTCATTCCTTTTCCTCACTGGCAAGCTCTCTTTCTCCACCCCCTTACCATCCAGTTCTCCTCCTACCCCCTAAGGCACTGTTGTAAGCAATGGCAGGCTCTGGTGATTGCCTGAGGACATTGGGAGTCACCAATCCAGGATTCCCTTTCTAGAGACTCCTCCCCTTCTTAATCTCAAAGTCCAGCTGATCAGTGAGCAGTTGGGGCCCATTTCTCACTCACCAGCTTCCACAGGAGTTCATAGTTGTATTCTACCTGGGAGAGATGACTCTAGCCTGGAGACATTTATTGAGAGCCTTGTACCTTGAGACCTCCTCTCTCAGGATCCCCAAGACTTGCTCTTTTCTGAACTGTGAGTAGAAAGCAGGGATCTGTGGGTCATCAAGAGGGGATTATCTAAATTTTAGAGAGTGTCACCTGGGATTTGGGAATGTTAAACTGGGATTGGGTTTTAGAGACGTGCAAGAACATAGCAAATGTTTCACTCTGTCTGATCCAATGTCCCCTTTTCACAGCTAATATTTTATAATGCCTTTGTTGTTCTGAAATGAAATCCATGGATAACAAAACCTGACTATACACAATAAGCTCCTTTGCAATATAAAGAAGAAATCAAAGGAAAACAATTCAAAATATGTTTTGTTATGTATTGTTAAATTCAATACATAAATGCCCAGCAATTACTATTTTCAAAGACATAAAGTATTTTCACAATTTCTACTACAACCATAGGAGATGGTATCACCACACCCCCATTACTGACAAGGAGACTCAGTGATATTCAGTGATTTGCCTAGAGTTATCCAAGCCAGGCCTAGACCCCAGACCCCCCCTGTCCACTCAGACTTTCCTCTCTCTGCAGCAGGAACTGGAAATGTGAGGAGACCTGGGGCAGTCAGACATCGGTAGCTTTATAAATTAGGTCCTAAGTGCTGGTGACTTTCACATGGATCTTGCTTCCCTGGAATTCTACCTCCTCCTCACCAATTTCCTTACCACAAACACAAATTTAAGCAGTTATCCACCTACATGTTTGTGTGCCATAGTGGGATTTTGTGTTCCACAGGCTGTTCACAGATATAGGTGATTTCTATTCCCTATTGATATCAATTTGTCTTAATCTTCTTCTATCTTTTCTTTTTTTCTCCTTCATTCCTTTCCTATTTGTCACTCACTCCCTGCTTCCATTCAAATGCAATGTTGTGAAATTTAATGCATGCCTGATGCTTTAAGCACACTATTTCCTTTCATCTTTGGTCAAGCTTGCAAGATGAGGAAAAAAAAGAACAAAGAATAATTAAGAAATGTAGTCAAAGACAGAAACATATGAGTGACAACTTGTGATTCAAAGCCAGGTCTGTCTGAATCCAACTCAGAGTTTCCGTCACCCTGTTATAATCTTGTTAGGGTTTCTCTTTTCAGTTGGGATTTTTGGTTATTTTTTGTTTTGGGTGCAGATTTTTTACTTGTTTTTTTCTTTTGTTTTGTTTTTCCACAACATTACTTAGTTCCATGTTCTCAAAAGGAGCTATGATTATATCCAGTCTTGAGCCTGGTAAGGAGGAAACTATGCTGAAAGTGCCAGTTTTTGACAAAGCAGGAGAAAACGCCTTCTGGGTTGCCTCTTCTCCTTCCAAACCCAAACTCCATGATGGCAAAGTTGGCCATGTGTGATAACAGCTAGATCTTGATGCCTAGACATTTTTTTTTAGCTTTTTCAATTTATAATTTTAATTTTAAGACAATAACTACACATATTTATGGAGTACAGTGTGATAATTTGATACATACATACATGTATAGTGATACAATCAAGATAATTAGCATTTCCATCTCCATGTCAGTTTTTGCATTTGGAGACTATGACGTCCTCTCTTTTAATTCTTCATAAAGTGTCTAATAGACTATTGTAACTTCTAGTAACCTTAGTGTGCTGTGGGACACTAGAATTATTTCTTCCTCTCTGATTATATTTTGGTACCTTTTATCCAGCCTCCTTCCATTCTTCTTCCTCCCTACCTTCCAAGCTCTCAGCAATCACTGTGCTTTTGTTTTCTCCTTTTATTAAGTTTTTTCTATTGTTGTGCTGGAGGTACACTGTGGCATTTACAAAAGTTCTTACTATATATCAAATATATCATAGTTGAGTTCACCCCCTCCATCATTCTCCATTATCTCCTTTTCCCTCATTCCTGGAATAGTTTCAACAGGTCTCATTTTTTCATTTTCATACATGCATACTTGAGGGTTTTTTCATATGCCAATTGCTGCATAAAGGTCTTATTCAACTCATTGGGAACTTCTGAAAGTAGTTTTAACAAGGAAACTACATAGAAGAAGTAATATTGTACATCCATGTCACATGAACATGAATGTCACATTCGTCGCCTGGCTTTTCAAAAACATTTCAGACATTTATGTCTACTTGTTTATCTAACATATATCCTGCCTCATTTGCAGATTTCACGCAGTTTGGGCCAAGTGCAGTCAAAAAATAATAATAATAAAAATAAAAACAAACCATGCATGGTGGCTCATCTGTAATCCTAGCTGCTTGGGAGTGGGAAATCAAGAGGATCAAGGCCAGTCTGGGCAAAAAGTTCACAAGATCCCATCTCAACCAATGGCTGGGCACATTGGTGTGCCTCTGTCACACCAGCACTTAGAGAAGTACAAATAGGAAGACAGCAGTGCAGGTCAACTGGACATAAAACAAGACCCTATCTCAAAAATAACCAACACAAAAGGGGTTGACTGAGTGGCTTATGTGGTAGACCCTACCTAACAAGTGTGAAGTTCTTAGTTCAACCCCCAGTACTGCCCAGAAAAGAAAAAAAAGAAATTTCAAAGTGAAAAATTTAAATTCCCACCCACATATCACACAGTTCAGGTGACGAGAAGTTCTCCACTGATTAGTCCCGTGTGATCATCAGTTGTGTTTAAATCGTTGTGTGATCTGCTGTGTTCTTGTTCTTATTTTTTGGGATGGTCTGCCTCCCAAAAAACAAATGGTGCCCAAAAAGCAAGGTAAATCTTAATGTGATTAATTTAAGTGGTAAAGATTTGTGTTGAAAGGCAACATGTCATTAGCAAAAGCTGGACAGTGTTATAAGGAAAATTAATCTAGCATCTGCAGTACAGTACTGAACTCTATGCATCTTGAGCATGCAGTCTTCTCTCAGTGGTGGTCTTCTCGAAAACATATACCTGCAGATGCCCAGGGTCTACTCTGTGTGTGTGTGTGTGTACCTTCTGCAGTTTGCTCATCAAACAAATACTCATTGAATACATTCCTCTTGAGCACCTGGTATGAACAAAATACGCATTCAAAGTACGTGAGCATCTATTACACACCAGTATTGCAAAGAAAGACAAAGGTCATCCTTGTGTATTTCAGAGGTGAGACAGGCAAAAACAGATCAATAAAGAAATATGTTTTCTTTAAAAAGTTCAGTAAGCCAGAGGCAGTGGCTCATACCCATAATCTCATCTACTTGAGGAAGAGATAGGAAGATCTGGCCCTAGATAAAAGTAGTAGAGCCTGTCTGAAAAATAACTAAAGCAAAAGGGCTGGGGGCATGGCTTAAGAGCAAAAGTGCTTGCCTAGCAGGTGCCCCAGTACCTCAAAAAAGAAAATAGTAGAAATACAAACTATGATGTCCCCACTCCAGAGGAACTAATACAGAAACCTTAAAACGACAGGTTAACATGAGCAGGGGATCAGGAAACAATGTAAAGATCAGTTAGAGATGAATCAATATGGGTCATAACACATGGGTACAAGAAAACAATAGTAGGAATCTCTCTGCATAGCTATCCTTAACTCAACTAGCAAAAATGCTTTGCCTTCCTTATTATGCTTATGTCTTTTCTTCAACAAAATCAGTGCTAAGGACAGAACGAGACCTGCCTGGGACTGAGGGGGGAAGGGGGGAAGGAAGGGAGGGAGGAAAGGGAGGGAGGGGGGAAGGGTGGAGAAATGACCCAAACAATGTATGCACATGTGAATAAATGAACAACAACAACAAAAGAACAGATCAAGGAAAAGGAAAGAAACATAAAAATGAGGGTAGGGTCTGGGGTAGATAGGGAGACCAGCATGTTTTAAATGTTGTCAGATAGGTAAAATTAAATAAGTCACATCCTATAATACCCATGTGATTACTGTAAGGTATTGGCATATGTAAACTATTCAGCCTTGTCTATGTTGATACATACAACCACTTTGGGTTGAAGATATATACAAAGTTGTAGAAGTAATTCATTTTCAGTATCAACAGTAGAAAAAAAAATCTTAGTGGTGGCTTCTTTCTTATAATTGCCTAAGGTTGTAAAATGTATGCCATGTCCAGGCAGGTGAAGAATGTTATACAATGTGTCATTTTCCTAGCACATGTACTCCTTCTCAAAAAGAAGAGATGCGCAAGAGAGAACATGAATGGTAAATTATGCCCATTTCCAACTAAGATTTTTGCCAACACTTCAAAGACTTTTCTAAGAAGAAATTCAAATTAGCCTGAAAGGGAGCCCCTCACCCTTCCATCTACATCCCAAGTTGACCTCAGAGAAGACCACTCTGAAAAGAGTCTAAAGGAAGATCCACCAGCCCTAGAATCAGGCAGAGCTCTTACTGTGAGCAACAGCAACTGCCCCTATTTTACTTATGCAAATGGCAGGTGTTAAAAGTTTATGGAGGATGGGAGGAAAGGAGAGAGACTGAAATAATCCATAGGAAGTGGGCAGGATTGGGCATGAAGTGAGACCAATGAAGGCCAGGCAGGAGTAGCCATAACTTCTTGGAAGGAAATGTCCTAATGTCTTCACTGGTGGGAAGAAGGCCCCTGGTATTAATTATCCTTTTGCTCAGAGTACACACAATTGGGCAGAGAAATAGGGGTGTTATAGATCTTGTCAGAGATTGAATGATACAGAGCAGCAACAAATATCTTCTGGAACCACAGAACAGTTTAGAAAGTGAAATGGATTTGCCCTTCAGTCTGACAGCTGGCAGCTATAACGCAGAGGTCGCTGATGAGAAAAACCTCCTCCTATAACCAACCCCTGTCCCCACACTACCAGACCTCTACACAGCTTCTTCAAGTCTCCCTTAGGAGATGCTGTTTCAATCTGTCACAACTTTGGCTTTGAGGTGGATGGATGATAAACTCTTATTACCTTCATTGGTTATCCCAAATGAGTACCAACATGGCATGTTTTTAAGTTACTAAATGTTCACTATTAGCTGAACAGCATCAAACACTATCTTATCTTTAAAAAAAAGTTACCTACAATGTTATACAGAAATAAGACATAATTAACATTTGAATGAAACACTGTGTGAATGTGCATTTTCAAGTATTTTACAATTTTTTTACTTTAGGGGGTGAAGAGTCCTTGATAAATACTCCTCAGTTGAAAACTGATGATAGATGTTAGAAAAACCTTTATCATTACAAAAAAAAAAAAAATTTCCCTGAGAAATTCCAAAAATTCACAAAAATTGATTTCTCTCACTTACCTTGACCAATAGTTTCCCCCCTTTTAATATTATGATTCAGGGGAAAGCAAAGATTAAGTGATTTATCTGCTGTGGAACCCTTTGAGAATCAGGCAGCTGGGCAGTTCAACCCATTTTCCTACTTGGCACTTATTATATATAAGTGGTATTGTTCTCCAAATAGAATTCCATTTTTAATGTCTTGAATTGTCCATGTGAAATGAAGTGAAAATGGGTGAACTGGATGAAAATCAGTAGCTGTCATTTGTGTTTAGTTTTAAAAGGCAGTATCAGATCAGTTAAAACAATAAAAAGAAACATTAAAATGCCAATTCAGAAAGAGACACAGAATTTAGCATCATTAGCCCAAACTAATGTTTCCCCTCCATTATTTGCTTATCTGTTGGTTGAACGAGTGAATGAATGTGACAGGTGGGTGGATGAATACATGGATGGATGGGTTGATGGATGGACCTGCCTTGACTGTTTAAAATTCAGGGTTTGGGGCTGGGTTGTGGCTCAGTGGTAGAATGCTTACCTGATGCACCTGAGGTCCTGGGTTCGATTCCTAGCACCACAAAAATAAAAATCAAGGTTTTATTTTCAAGTTTTTCTCTCCAACTCTTTTCCCCTCAGCCTACTCTGGTAATTGCCATAGACTTAGAGTCAAGAGAACTTACAGCTTCCTTAATGGGCAACTGCAATTTTACAAATAGGAAAATGAGACTGATGGAGTAAAGGGGTTTTGAATCCTCAGAAATAATAAAAAAAAATCCATCTCAAAAGAATAGCTAATGCAGAGGGGCACAATGAAAAGCTTTTCAAAAAGTGAAATTCTCAGAAAACTTCAACTATCTTTTTTTGTTATTTCTATGCATGGATGGCCAAAGGCCACTTGCTTTTAAAGTAAGAAAAAATTAATGACATTAGTGATTATTTAGAGCAGAAAATTGAATGGAAATTCTCTGAAAGAAAATATACTCAGAGTTGTTACTTTCCAGCTTCATTTAAAAGCACAGTTGTTCATTGAGTTTCTCAGGACTGTCACTTCATAGACACACAAATTACCATTTTATCCATGCATTCAAACCTTCATGCTGAATAAGAGGCATCACTTCCTCAGCTCTTTCCACCTGCAAAATTATCTTGATATTGACCTTGAAGCTTCAAAATTAGGAGCATTCTTTTCCGAGAGTGCTTATTAGAGCTCTAGATACCTCTTTCATTTCTGATATTCCCTGATTTCTCTTTTCCCATCCCATTACAACAGAGTGGTCAAAGTCTATGTTGGTAATGAGTGACTAAAAAGAATACTAGACTGGGAGTCCAAAACTTGGAGTTTCATTCTTGTTCTGTAGCTAACTAGCTTGGTGAGCTTAACCAAATCAATTTATCATTCTAGGCATATCTATTAAATGAGCATTTTGACATCCTTCCCCCCAAATCTAAAATCTCTCCCAACTCCAAATATTTAACGATTCTTCCGGTTCAGCTTATCTCCTTTTGGCATGGTCTTATGTTGACAACCTTTTCTTTTTTTGGGAGGCAGTGGGGGTGGAATATCTTCCAGATCTGTTTGCAGGTATCAGTACAGTACATTGCCTAACACCTGACCTTCCTTGTTCCCTACAAAATAGTCAACAGCCATTTATTGAGAGCCAATCAGGTACCAGACTGGACTACACACTGGGATTCATGCACTGGGTGGCCCAGATCCTATTAAGCACTTCTATTAAAGTATACAAACTCCTGCTACATACTGTGTTGGCAGAAATTTTGCTGACTGGAGAGAGAATCATAGTCAACGTGGGCGAGGGCAACAAGCAGCAAGACTTCCCCAAAATCCTCCACATCTCTCTGAACTCCATTCAAGAGGACATATCTTTGTTTTGTCTCTACCTGAAAATCCATTATTGAAATACCTCAGCTTTTAAATCCAAACTAAAGCCTGATTTAAGTGATTTTTTTAAACTAAGAAACAAAATTGCCCAAGGATCTTGATTCAAGTAACTATAGGTAATTGTCACAAAATGACCTATGTCATGTTTAGCTGAGAATTCTAACTTGCTTCACTTTCAGTATGTGCTTCCTGGACACCTGTATCCAAACTCTCTCTTCATACCAAACCCAGCATGCCACCATGTGACATCTTGCCTGAAAGATATCAGGTAAGACATAGGACTCCAGGGAAACTCAAAGAGTTAGTTGCCCTGAAGGAGTCCCAGTTATTTCATTAAGGACTCACAGATGGCCTTGTTTGTCACCAAGTCGTCCCATCCTAGATATTCTGTCCTTAAAGTCATTGGGAACTCCTGAAACCTCTTACAACATTTACTGCCTGTTGCCCTACAGCTGATGAATGGATCATGAAATTACGGTATATATACACAGTGGAGTATTACTCAGCTGTAAGGAATAATGACATGGGGTTTGAAGGTAAATGGATGCAATTGGAAGACATCATGTTAAGTGAAGTAAGCCAGGCTCAGAAACACAAAGACCACATGTTTTCTCTCATACATGGAAAATAGATCCAAAAGATAAATATATGCACAAAAGCAAGCATGATCATGTACAAACTCAGATGTAAATCATGTTTGTAACAGTGGAATTTCTCTATGGAACTCAGGGAAAGAGGGAAAGGAAAAGAGAATGCTAGAGCATCAGTAATGTCACATAACGTAAGATGTGAAGGTAGAGGATATAAGGATGTGATGAAAGCTTTGAAAAATGAACACTAGGAGATAAAGGGGTAAGAGAGAATAATGGAAGGGGTTGAATGGACCAAAGTAAAGTACACCCACAGTGGGCATATACTCACCCCTTTGAACATTACTTTAAGTATTAATGAAAATAGGACTGAAAAATAGGTACAGTGAGGGGAGGAACTCATGGGAGGGGGAGAGTGAACTAAGGAGATTAGGGTGACTGTATATGGTAGATGGACTTCATATACTTATATGAAACAGAACTAAGAGATCTCTTGCAATTGCTTTAAGTGAGGCAGGGAGGGGGGTTGAGGGGGAGAGACAATGGGGGCAATGTCACTAATGTACAATAAAGTCTAATTGGAATTGTCACTATGAAATCCCCCCTGTATAATGAATATCTCCTGATAAAAATATTTATATAAAAAAATTGACTACTTATGTGGGAGTTATGAGTGTGCAAGAATCTGAGACAGAGACAGCACAACAAAGAGATTTTCTAGGGAAGTACCTGTATTGCAGGGAAACGCACAATGCAAATGTGATGGTACACTTACTTTTCTTAAATGTTATTTTGATAAACTCACAGAAACCCATAATCTATCTTCCTGAATCTGCCACCAAAATTCATAATTATCTTTTTGTTCTCAAACTAATAATACTTAGGTCATTAGTTTCCCCCTTCACACACACACACACACACACACACACACAGAAACAGAGTGATTCCTTTAATTCCAACACTTGTAGGTTATAAATTATGAAATCATAATTGTGCAAGAAGGACCTGCAAAGAAAAGAAACATGGGAGAAAGCTTTTATAATTAAGAACATGGCCTGGGGGTGTAGCTTAGTGGTAAAGTACTTGCCTAGCATGCCTGAGGCCCTGGGTTCAATGACCTGCACTATAAAAATCATGCACACTACCAGCATTTAAAACTACAGTAACAAAAATGACATTAATTCAGACATTTCCTTCCAAAGCTTTTTTAATTTTTTCATAGCTAAAATCAGCACAAACTCAAAAATCCCAGCCTCCTTCTTCATATCTGCTTTACAAAGAGACCAAAAAACAACAAATAATAATTTTACTTGCTTAAGAGGAAGAACTTAGCCAGGCATGGTGTACACACTTGTAGTTCCAGCTACTAAGGAAGAAGAAGCAAGAGGATCTCAAGTTTGAGGTCAGTCTGGGCAAAGTTAATAAGACCCTATCTCAAAAACAAATAAAAAGGGCTGGAGGCGTGACTCAAGGGAGCATGACTCAAATAGTAAAGCACTTGCCTAGCATGTGCGAGGCCCTAGGTTCAATCTTCATTACAGGTATGGGCAAGGAGAACTTTAGTTTTTATAAGAAGGATGTGAATATTGTGTAAGATGTGAATATTAGGTGACAAAACCCACTTGTGAGCCCCTATACGCACAGTCCTGTGTTCACTTTGCTAGACAGACTAGGCACAGGTATACTGACCTTGTAGGAACAATGGAGAATGGAGAGGAGAGGGGAGGGAGGGAAAAAAAGGAAGGGGAGGGGAGGGGAAGGAGAGATTTAATCTTGTCTGTCTGTAGTCCCTTACCTACAGCCGTGCCCTGGAGATCCACAAGCAACATCTTTCTCCGATGGTGACGGCATATTTCCAGAAGCCCTTGCTGCTCTACCAGGGACACATGGAGTGGCTATTTGATTCTGAAGGAAACAGATACCTGGATTTTTTTTCTGGGATTGTTACTGTCAGTGTTGGTCACTGCCACCCGTAAGCATCCTTGAAATTCATGGGGGTTTTCACTTCAGAAGAATATATGGAAAGCAATCTTGTTAGTGACTCACAACCCTTGATTCTCCTATCCTGGTTAAAAAAATATATCTATTACAGATTGTGGGTGACATATTCCCACATATTTTCCTGGTAAGAAGTCTTAACACTGCACTTTGTCTTTTCTTGACAACAGAAGCTTTTGTCATTCTTTTTTTTTTTTATTCATATGTGCATACAAGGCTTGGGTCATTTCTCACCCCTGCCCCCACCGCCTCCCTTACCACCCACTCTGCCCCCTCCCTCTCCCCCACACCTCCTCAATACCCAGCAGAATCTATTTTGCCCTTACTTCTAATTTTGTTGTAGAGAGAGTGTAAGCAATAATAGGAAGGAACAAGGGTTTTTGCTGGTTGAGATAAGCATAGCTATACAGGGCATTGACTCACATTGATTTCCTATGCGTGGGTGTTACCTTCTAGGTTAATTCTTTTTGATCTAACCTTTTCTCTAGTTCCTGGTCCCCTTTTCCTATTGGCCTCAGTTGCTTTAATTTCTCTGTGTTAAGGGCAACAAATGCTATCTAGTTTTTTAGGTGTCTTACCTAACCTCACCCCTCCCTTGTGTGCTCTCACTTTATTATGTGATCAAAGTCCAATCCCCTTGTTGTGTTTGCCCTTGATCTAATGTCCACATATGAGGGAGAACATACGATTTTTGGTCTTTTGGGCCAGGCTAACCACACTCAGAATGATGTTCTCCAATTCCATCCATTTACCAGCGAATGATAACACTTCGTTCTTCTTCATGGCTGCATAAAATTCCATTGTGTATAGATACCACATTTTCTTAATCCATTCGTCAGTGGCGGGGCATCTTGGCTGTTTCCATAACTTGCCTATTGCAGCACTATTCGAATAAAGTAATCTTAAACTGGCAGAGGCCGCTATGGGAAGGAGACCAGGAAGTAGTGAGAGGTCTGGCAGAGATGAACCAACGTGGGTTGCAATATACAAGTACATAGAAGCAAAACTAGGAATCTCTCTGTATAGGTATCTTTATCTCAAACTTGCAAAAGCATTGTGTCTTTCTTATTATCTCCTGTGTTTTCTCCTCAACAAAATTGGAGAAGAGGGTGGAACAGGTTCTGCCAGACAGCAAGGCTCGGGGGAGGATGAATGGGGAGGTGGCCCAAACAATGTATACAAATGTAAGTAAACGTAAAAATGACAAAATAAAAGGCAGAAAAAAAAAAAACTAGGAGCTGCTGAACATCAACCTTTGGTTCCTTGTAATATCATAGATGAGGCTTACTTGAGGAAGGGAACTAAAATGGGATGTGAGTACCATTCAAGGCCCCAGAGAACATTCAAAATAAATTTCACATGCATTTTAAAGCACAGTACGGTGTGGGGGGGGAAGGATTTTTAAAAAGCCCAGTACAAATGTGCATGAAAGAAGTAGAGAAAATGGAGTTCAGATCAATTTTAAACCCTCTTGTCCCAACAACACTGACATTGTCCCTGAGAGATGACCCTCCCACTGACTTTCATGACCTTTGTCCTTCTGATCTCTGTCTCCTCCCTAACTCTGGTGTCCCCAGCTCTCTCCTTAGTTCTCTGCTTTTCTCTCTTTAGGTCTTTTCCTCCCTTATTATTTCTTGCCACAGAATTGCCATCCACCCACACATACATCAGTATCACCACCATCTTCCTATCCCTGCTATTTAGTTACTACATTTTCTACTATCTCATCCAATTTGGTATCTTCAGACTTAGTCCCTCACCAAATTACAATAATAAGTCTACTATAGTCAGAGTGGGTATCAAGATGCCCCATATTTTCCATTACCAGCTAGAACACCTCCCACCCCATGATATTACACCAGCATCTCAAATTCAGTAAGACTAAACCCATCATCTCCACAAAATTATTTCAAGTTGCACAGGTGAACCACCTTCACTGTGAAGGAGCTGGGAAGCTAGACAGAAGCTATATTTCTTAGCCCAGTGTCCCAAGCAAGAATAATGAAGTTGGCTTTGACTCTTCCCTGCTTCCATTACCTTCAGTCAACCTGAAGCCACAGACTGTTTTCTTTCTCCTGCTGATTCCCACTAGTCCCAGAATTCTAGGTAGACACTCTCCCTCTCCCACACTAAAAGTCTACCTTGCCCACCTAGCTGGCTTTCACATTGCCAGCAATCCCCTCTCCATTCTATGCTTCACCGTGGCTCTCAGATTTATTTTTCTAAACAATTCTGTAATCAAGGGTATCTTCTTTTTCACAGTTTACCAACACTCTACAACGTTCTAAAGTGAAATTCGTTAAACACTGATCACAAGAGTGGTTCCTTGGGAAAAGTTCCCATGAGGATATAAGTTTAGGAAACACTTTGAACTCTATCTGCCTCCTGGAGAGAAACAATGTACATTAACCTATTAAAAGTACTAAGAAGTTCCACAATAAAGAAATATATTTGATCTGGCATTTTTTTAAATGATTCAATTGCTGAACTAATTTTTTGGTGTTAATAACAAACAGAATTGGTATGAAACAAACTACCCCTCAGTATGAACCTTTACCTGATTCTGTAAAGTTGGCCTGGTCCTTTAAAGAATGTGGTTCATAGTTACAAAATGTTTATTAATACTGACCACTGCCCAAATCCAGATACTAGAATCTCCTTGGTAAGAATAAGTGCTAATCTTGTATACATATGTTTGTTGGAGCTATAGTTTTTTAGAAAAACAAAATAGAAGGCCTAGCTACCTGAAACCAACCCAAGCAAAAATTTCATGAGCCCACATCTCAACTACTGCCTGGGCGCTGTGGTACATGCCTGTCATCAAGCTATATGGGGAAGCATAAACAGGAGGATCCCAGTCAATGCCAGCCCAGGCCTAAAGTGAGACCATATCTCAAAATAACTAATGCAAAAAGTGCTGAGGGTATGACTCAGGCAGTAGAGTGTTTGCCTCCAAGCACAGGCCATGAGTTCAACCCCTAGTACTGCCAAAAAATAACTTTAAAAATTTAAACACTTAAAAACAGAATGGAAAGATACTCATAAGGTATCTCCATCTTCCAAACTGTTGAAAGAACAGTGAATAAGAAAATACAGAAGATATTCTAAGCCCAAACTTCCTCCTAAGCTAGGAATTTCTTTTCTGGAATCCTTGTCTCAGGGAGGAATCTGACACCTTTTGATGTAACACCTCACATTGCTGGACACCTCTGATAGCTAGAGAGGTTCGTTCTTATATGTGAATGAAACATGCCTCTTGAAACTCTTTGAGAAGTAGCCATATGACTGGGTTCAATAGCCAGTGTGTGTATTGTAGGGATGTGACAGCTGGCAGTATGGGTGACTCTGCCCCTTTCCCCATTTGTCTAGGAAAGTAAACATGGTGGCCCAAAAGCAGCTTAACCGTCTGTGGCACACAAGTTCTGTCTTCTTCCACCCTCCAATGCACGAATATGCAGAGAAGCTTTCTGCACTTCTTCCTGAGCCTCTTAAGGTAAGATGATCTCAGTTCAAAGGGATAGGAGTCACACAATCATGATCACAAGCTGTCTGCCTGAGGAAGGAGGAAGATGGACATGGAATCTGGTCTGTGCATTACACATCTGTCTTGGTAAGCTGATAGCATATCTAAAAGCAATCTAACAGAAGAAAGAATTTATGAATTGCTGGTTAAACAAGCCAGTGTTCACTTGTGTCGCTCTGAGCCTCTGTCTCTCCTCCGTTGCTCTCCTTAGCACATCTTTGCAGAAGTCACTTCCCAGGAGCCCCCATCCTCCTGAAAGCTCCATCTGTAGCCTTGAGAGATTTTTATTTCTTTGCTCCAAAGCCCTTCTGCAAAGTCATTTGCATTTCTTCTCTTATAAAGAGTGGAGCCATTCTTCATAAGTGCCATTAGTCTAAAATGCACTTAATTATTTTTGCTAAATGAGATACTTTGCTACATCTGGTGTGACTGATATTTTAAACTGACTTGAAATGTAAAGATATTAGCTAAGATTGGCATTAATTCATTGAGTTAATTTCCCTTTATTAAATGAATTAATACATCTGAAAGGCTTAGAATAGAAACTGTACCTGGTGCTAGCTATTATTGTTTTTTGCCATATTATCTAGATACTCCACTTACTAATATTATCTAGAATAGACAAAAAAAGAAACTTGGAATCACTGCACTATGTTCTGATCCTGATGTTCATGGAAGAGTAAAGCAGGATAGCCTGTAAAGTCGCTAAGGTATGCCTCCCAGTTGCTGAATCTGAAAGCCCATTTCCCTTTGGTTCTCCCCATTCTTTTGACTGGGCTGAGCTGCATTAATTGTTTGTTCTCTTGTTTTTCAACATTTATATCCACAGCAAAATCAGGCTGGAAGACCCCTGACATTGCAGTATCAGGGATCTTACCATGTTCCAAGCCTTCAGAACCAGGTGGAGTAAGTTAGGTTCAGGAATCAAACCCAGATATGCTCAGCCACTAGCCACTGCGTGCACCTCGGCAAATCTCCCCATCTTAGCATTTTGCACATCACCAAATAAAGCCAATTAAAGCCCAGAACACTTCACTGCTATAACAAGCACTAATTTTTTATTAGTGTATGTTAATTGTACAAAATAATGGGTTTCACTATGATATTTTCATATATGTATTTAAGGCATTTGATCTTATTCATCCCCTATTACTCGCTCTTGCTACCTGCCCCTCTCACTGGTCCCCTTTCTCTTCCCAAATAGTCCCCGTTCTACTGTCATTCCTTTTTTTCTAATCTAAATTCCACATATAAGAGAAAATGTGATACCTGCTTTTTGAGTCTGGCATATTTCACTTAATATGGTGGCATCCAATTCATTCATCTGCCTTCACATTGCATTATTTCATTCTTTATGGCTGAGCTTGGCCATTTTTATTTCTAGAAGTTAGAAGCTGCTCAATGAAGGGCTATAGAATTAATGTAGTGGTATATGGTGGGACTGCTAGGTTAAATACTGGGTCTTGTGAGGACTCTCCTTAAGGGTCAGAAGCTGGGACACACAATCTTTAGCAATGTTGAAGGAATTAAGTAACAGGGAACTAAACAGAAGTATGAGTTCATGTGCCTTCTTTTCCCCTCTAGGTCATTTTCTTGGTGAACAGTGGCTCAGAAGCCAATGACCTGGCAATGCTGATGGCCCGAGCACACTCAAATAACACAGACATCATTTCTTTTAGGTAACTACATCTTTAAATATTCAACTTTTTTGAATTGATTTACCAAATATTAAACATTAACTGACCTCAGTACTAAATGTGTACCTTTAAATTGTAGCATAGAAAAGAAGAGTTTTCTTAGGGGTATTTTTCCAAGTTTAAGTTTTAGAGTGTGATCAGCTGAGTGAATTTGATGAGCAGATATCCACTCTAGATTGGCCTTATAGACCCTTCGTGATATATTAGCATTGAAAATAATAGAAAACTAAGAATTTTTTTCATTTTTCTACCTTAGCACATTTAAAAAGACTCTTACAAGGTTTATAAAAAAGACAAGAGTAACTTATAGTGAAAGTTCTGTTCTTGGAATGAAGAAATAGTCCGATTTTAAAGCTGTCTTGGCAGAATTTCTGCATAAATTCAAAGATTTTATATGGTCTTATCACAGCACATGCAATACTACACATTCCATATAAAATGCACATGCAGTTATCACAAGCATAAGGAAATATTTTCTATCAAGGAAATATAACAATAAAGCATTGTAATTGATGTTTTACCAAAATAATTCTAGGATATGTATATCCAGATGAGTATTGGTCTACGTGAAGAAGTCATGGTAGTACCAGGGTTTAACACATATTATGTCTTCTCTTTCAAGATACATGACATTCTCTAAAATAGTCCTAAATCTTTACTTAAGGGTTGTTTTCATTTGGGAAGTTTTAAAAATTGATAAGGATGATTTATATTAATATGACTGAGGCTCAAAAGAAACAAAATCTATGTGTCTTATATGTCAAATAAGGTCATTTACAAGTCACGTAAAGATGATTCCCCAAAGATACTGAGCAACACCTTCATCATGGAAATACATATTTGTCTTCCCAAGGTGACTACTTTGAAGACGCACTCATTGGCCATGTAATTTCTGGTGTGTTGGTAAAAGATAAGTCTCGTTACTTCTGAACAATAGAGTGGGCTGGGTCCTAAAGACAGAGTTCTTGGCCAGATTATCTCCAAAATTTCTTTCATAATTTCAAACCTCTGATGCCAGTTGAAAGACAAGTAAGTACATTCCTGTAACATAGGCTTAAAAGAGTTCTTAAAAGTCCTCAGAGTTTAATGTTCATGTGGTTCTAGTACCTCCCCATAGCTTGCACAGAGTTTTCTTCTTTTGTCCCACTCAAGCCAGTGGTTAAAGAGAAATGAACTTGACTCCTTCCACCCATTGTTTTTTCTTTGCAGAGGAGCCTACCACGGATGTAGTCCTTACATACTTGGCTTGACAAATGTAGGAACCTTCAAGATGGAACTCCCCAGTGGGATGGGTTGCCAATCAGTAAGTTCTGAGTTTTTTGTCTCGTTTATCTAAAGATTGCTGAGTATGTGGAATAATTAATCAGATTTTCCTGAAATTAGAATTAGAAAGTAATATAAATCCTGTCACTAATCAGAGGCTCAATTTGACTTAATTAAATTGAAGACCATTTGGAGAAAGTGTTTCTTAAAAAGGCCTTCAGAGTCTGAGTAATAATTAATGATAGAATTTTTTAAATTATTTTGTTTGTAAGTACAATCAAGTAAACTCAAGATTCTGAGGATCTTGAATACACAAAATTTCTATCGAGTCATTCCTGCCCTCACCTTCTGTTCTCACATGTTATAAATCTCTTTTTCAGCATCAGAATCAAATATCTAATTATCCTTATTCTTTCAAATGCCCTTATCCACCAAACCCTTTAGAAAGTTGTTTCTAGAATAACACTGAAATCAGTTTTCTTTGTAGAGCGCCCACATAAGAGATTTCTAAGAAAAAATATCTCTTCAAAGCAGATTAGATTTTTATCCTAAGTGAGTGAGGAGCGAGGAAGAAATCTTGATATCACATTAAGAAGTCCTCTTGCCCGATTGCTGCCATATGCTCCCCCAAATTAGCTGTCTTTTGTTTGTGTTTTTCTAAAATCTTTCTTTTTTTATTTGCAGACAATGTGCCCAGATGTTTTTCATGGCCCTTGGGGAGGAAGCCACTGTCGAGATTCTCCAGTGCAAACAATCAGGAAATGCAGCTGTGCACCAGGTCAACTGGGCAGGGAGGAAGGGATAGAATAGAAGGTCAGGAGGGGCAAGGAACTTGGAGAAGGACAGAACCATACCTGAGTGAATAATCAAAGTTGGAAAAATAGAAAGGAAAAGAACCAAAAGAACTGGAAAGTATTAAGCGAATCCCTTGTTGAATTAACACTTCTCATGCTTTCCCTTGCTTTACTAGTAGAGCACCCATCTGGTCATGGGGGAATGTCTCATGCTATCAGAGATAAGCCTAAAGGAAGACTATCATCTAGCTCTTAATTAAAGGAGCTCTATTAGCAATGGGTCTGCTATCAGTTTTAAAACAAAGCAAAGTGAGTGGGATTATTTACTAATTCCCAATCGGAGAAGGAGGAAGGAAAAAGATATTTTGGGGCAGTTTTGCTTGGTTGGTTGGTTTGTTTGTTTGTTTTCAAAGTCTCAGTCCAAGTTTAATAGACACTATAAAAGATCAATGGGCTGATCCTCCACTTCTGTTACCTCATGCACACCAGATGGTCTACCTTACAACATAGCTGAAGACATTCTCACTATATAGGAAAGGCATGTCTTGAAACACACCTTACCTTGTGCTTTAATCAGGAAAAAAGTACAAAAGAGATTTTGTTCTCATAAATGCCTACTGAAACCCAGCACTAAAATGCTCTGGTGCTTACTTTTGCTTAGAGAAATATTCTTTGCTGTTCTGGACATCAGGCTTCATGTTATCACTTCCAGGCTTCCAGGAAGGTCACATGTTTGTTAGTGAACTGGAAGGCCTGAACTAGTCTCAAAATCTCACCCACTAAGAGGCCAACAGGGAAGTCATTTATAGTGATCTGTCAAAGGACTCTATCACCGCTGATAAAGAGGTCCTTGAATGAGACAACTTCATCAGTCTTCAAAACTCCATAATCCTAATCAATGGTGAGCTTGAGATCTGATACCAAGAGAATGCACATGGGTCTCAGTCCTCCTGGTTTCTTGGATGTGTTTATCTATGCCAGATGACAGAAGTGAGAATCCACAGAAGCACCAATTACTTGGTAGCTGACTTTCTTAAATTCTTCTGTTTTATCACTAAACACAATGATCTCCATGGGGCACACAAGTGTGAAGTCAAGAGGCTAAAAGAACACAACATATTTTCTTTTGTAGTCAGATAGGCTGATATCTTTGAAGTAAGCATCTTGCATAACAGCTGTGGCTTTGAAGTTGGAGCCAGAGTACCCAATTTCTGCATTTCATGACGACATCCTGCTATTCGCAGTTTCAACCTAGAAGTCTCTGAGACAAAAACCATCACAACCAGGAAAGAAGAAGACACGAAAAGGATACTTCTGCTAATCTCAAAACTCCAGTCAAGAAGTTGTTCACAGACTCAGAATGCCAGCCAAAGTGACAGCATCTGTCAAACACAAGAAACCATTCTTGAAAACCACTGACATCTCTTGCAAAAGTTTTAAAGGCATTCTCACAAGGAAAACTTCTTTTAAATACCACATTTGTTTGCATTCTTTATTAACAAGAAAGATAGGAGGCAAAGAAACATCATCTGCTCTTTTGTAGTCAGTAAATCCTGCCTCAGATTTGTCATCAGGTACAGGACCTTTTGGACAGCTGCTTCTAAGTAGTTCTGGAGGAAATAATTCACTGCTCTGGCCAAAAGATCTTTAATGGCACAGGATAAGTCATCAGGTTGAGAGGTAGAATGCAAGCTGAATGTACTAAGCACCAACTTGAGTGGAAGAAGATTCACAGTTGCTTTAAAATTTATATGAGATAATGGCAAAATGGCAAAAATAAGAGTATGAAAAAATAATGGTGAAATAAAACAAGATGTCATGGTCGCAGAATTTAAAAACACAAGGAATTTTAAAAGTATAATTCAAACTTTCCATTTTAAAGATGAGGAAACCAAAGTCCACAAATAGGAAGTGGGAGAGCTAAGATTTGATCCTAGCTCTTCTAACCCAAAAGCCAGTGTTCCCAGCACCTGTCACTACCCTTATACACACAACTATGCCAGCAAGATGAGCACAAGTTGACAAATAATCCCTGTTGTCCTGGCCATGACTGAAGAGATGCATGAAGAGGTCTAGATTTCACTGCCAGCACTGCTGTTTCGCTTATAAGCAAAAATCCCATTTTGTACTTCAGTTTTCTCATTTTGTAAAAATGAAATAGTAATATCTGTGTCCACTCCCATCACAGCAGTTCATGAGATCAAGACATACTCAGCTTTTTATAGATGAAGAAATTTAATAGAAAATTAAATTTAAGTTTTACTTGGCTACACCATATGTATGATATATGTATATGTATGTATTTCATCTATATGGATCAAGAACTTAAGCCTGTTTTTGATGTCTGTGCAACCACCAGCACTCAAGCTTTCCTTCTTGCTATATGCCCCTCTCTCTCTGTCTTCTCTGCATTTTCCCTCTTTGACACTTTCTCTTATTTAGAGCATGTTGAAAATGTCAGAACCCCATGATCATCTAGTAGCATCTAAAGGCTGAATGATAGTTACAGACACACCCGAACTGTTGTCTGATTCAGCTACTTTCCTAACTCTTTCCTTCAGAGACAAGGTGGATATCATACCTTGAAACAGGATTAGATTACAAAAAGGGGCACCAGCCTCCTCCAATGCCTTTAGGATCAGGAGCACTTGGTCTTTGTTGTCAAACTAGTGTATTCACAGATGAATTCCAACATAACAAGTACTTTGAGAATCATGATTCCAGGTCTCAATTCCTCTAATAGTTCACTGGATGCCTACAGGTGCCAATCATAGTAAGGATATTTTCCATTTCAGAATTATGTCATCAAACCTCAGAATAGGCAGGGGACATTTATGAGCCTAATATAGATTTTGGGGGGGGCTTGAACTTGGGGGTCTCACACTTGCTAGGCAGGCGCTTTACCACTTGAGCCACTCTGCCAGTCCCTAACATAGATTTTTCTATGCATTCTCTTACCCTGTTTGCCTCCCCAGGATTTTTCTCTCTGCAGAGGTTCATTCTAAGCCCTGACTTTCAGACATAACCCATAATGAAATTCACCTCTCTTCACCCACTGCCCCTACAATGTCCCAAACCTGAGACTGGTCATGTCATTTTTCTCTATTTAGAAGGGAAGTCTTCTTTCTCTTAAAAATTATATTTCTGCTTGGTGCCAGTGGTTCATGCCTGTAATCCTAGCCAGCTGAGAGGCAGAGATCAGGAGGGTTGTGGTTCAAAGCCAGCCCAGGAAAATAGTTCATGAGATCCTATCTCAAAATTATCCAGCACAAAAAAAGGGCTGGTGGAGTGGCTCAAGTGGTAGAGCGCCTGCCTAGCAAGCGTGAGGCTTCTGAAAATTATAGTTCTTTCTTGGTTTCTCACTCCTCTGCTTAACTCTTATTGAACCAAAAACTAAAACAGACTCTCCTACAGCCACTCTGTTGTAGTATCCAGCAGAGCATCCACATCCTCTTGATGTTGTCATGGAGACACCAATGCACCAATCTCTCTCCTGGAATTATAGCACAGAGCAAATGAAGCAATTATGAAATAAAGAGATGAAAACAGTACATGATCCCCCAAGTCACTAAATATGTAGAAAGATGGAGGTAAAAATCATGAAATATTTAGCATAGACTCAAGCAAAGCCTTTTCTTGATACAGTTTTGCCCAAATTTAAGCCTTGAGGTTGATTTTGCTCCATTCTTTGATTTCTCTAGTTACAAAAGGCTTGCTAATTCTCCAAATTATATATTTGGTTCATATGCTTGATGTATCCTTTAGGGTCATCCTAGGCTGTTTTCTCTTCCTTTCCTAATAAAAAATAGGGAATTTCACTCCTAGATTGAAATTTTATCTTCTTTCCATAAAAATATCTTAAGTGATGCTAAAAACATACTTTCTGCATTTTATGCTTTTGTCATTACTTCCTTTCTCACACCCCAACCTCCAACCTCTAAATAACCAGGTATCAATCAAGTTTTCCCAAATACCACATTTTGGGCCAGGTAGTCTTCACTCTTTTTTCTTTTCTTTTTGCACTTGCAGAGCAGGTGCTCTACCACTTGAGCCACACCTCCAGCCTATTTTGCTTTGGCTATTTGGGAAATGGGGTCTCGAGAACCATTTGCTCAAGCTAGCCTCAAAATGCAATCCTCCCAATCTCAGCCTCCCAATTAGCTAGGATTACAGGCATGAGTCACTGGCACCCAGTTTATTCCCACTCTTTAATGAAGAGCTGAAGTACGAAATGAAATGTATTGATGCATAGTTTTAATTGTGATTGCTAGCGTTTCTCTTGGATGTCTCTATCCTTCAGGAAAGGCTACGTCCATGCCTCTAAGCAAGCAATGTGATGGCAGCTGTTGACTCCTCGCCACCTCAGTTGCTTGGAAGTCAAGGGGGCTGAGGCCTCCCATCCCATCCACATCTCCCTCTGCATTTTAATGCTGGTGATGAGTCTAGGTTTAAGTTCAGAGATGTTGTGGTGCTTAGAACCAAATGACAAGTGTGGATGAAAATGCTGAATGTTTAGTCATGTATTGATGCAATTGATCTGGACTTTTGGTGTTTCATGCTAGAAGGCTTCCTCTCTTTCCTCCCTGCCTCCTTGGTGGTTTTTACCTGTAGTTGTGACACACAGATGGCAGCCTCTGGAGCTTTGGCAAGCCTCCTGAGCAATCTTCCCACTCCTCAGGTCCCCTCCCACCCACAAGAGTTTATACCCATCTGTATGTTGAGACTTACAGTGAGAGAAGTATTTATCATCACTGGCAGGGATGATACCAGCATCTTTAAGAAGGTAGAACATGTGGACTGAATGAATGTGGAGAGTCATAAGACACCAATGGTTAACCTCAGCTGGAAACAACTAAAAATCCTGGGTAAGATATGAAGCACACCCTCATTAAAGCATCCATATAAGAAAATAAGAATTCTCAGAAACCCCTGAGAAAGAAATAATAATTCAGTCATACAAGTTAAACTATTTCACATAACATTCTGAACTCAGCTCTGGTATTGAAGTTCATATTTGTGGAAAAGTCAGTTAAATTTTGTTCAACTAAACTAAAACACATTACTTTTAAAACTTTCTAAAACATAAGCCAAGATGGAAATATTCTATAACCAAAGTACAATTATAATTAAACTAAAATTAATCAGGCGGAGGAGACTCAAAATATACATTTTGGCAGAAAATAAAACCAATACCAAGAGAAAGTTATTTGGAGAAGGCAAAATTCTTTATTCAGAAGAGTTTATTTTCTGTCCTATCAAGATTTTTTTAAACCATGAATATTAATGAAAGAATTTAAAGAATGAAATAAATGTTCTACCTACTTGAATGATATACTCCAGGAGTTGTTCTTAAGCTAATATATACCTTCAACTCACAACTCTAAAATGAGTTTTGATGGGCTCTAAAATGCCCATCAAAACAATCTAAAAGAGGGGGAAAATGTAGTTAAAAATATTTTTCAAAATCCTAAACTACTCCTCTAGTTACACATTGAACAACGACCTTGAAATAGATTTTTTTCACCTATACCACATTTCTAAACTTTAAATTATTATGGATGTTTTAAATAAAAAAGTATGGATTCCTTTAAAAAATGAATTCTTAGAAACCCAAAGAGATCATTCAGACCTTAGCCATCATTTGCCCTGAGGGCATTTGTCAAAACCAGTTACCAAGAGCCTCAGTTTTCTTGGCTCTGTGGAGAACAGAGAAGAGGCGACAAAGTCCAGGAGCCCAAGAAAAGGAAAGGATCAGAGAAGGAAGCCTTCTCTGCCACAAAGCTGCAATCCTCAGATCCACACTCTTATCCATGGATCAACTACAAATAAACACACCACCACCTCATCACGTGCATAAAGTTCTACAAGGATGCTTGTGCTAAACGGAAGTGGAGTCATCACGGAACACCTGAACAAGCCAGCCATTCTGAGGCTCTGCATTCTGAACTTTCATTTCCTTGAGCTGATGAGTTAGAGGAATCTTAGGCTATAATGGCCTTATAAGCCCAGAAGCTGCAAATGCAAATATAGTCTGAAGGAATCAACCTCATTCTAGGTCTCAAATAATTTTCATAAATGAAATTCCAGAGAAAATAGACAACCTACAGTCAGAAATAACTAAAATACAAGGAAACAAAACTCCACAATCAAGAAAAAGACCCACAAGAATTTCAGATTTAGCTGACAGACTATAAAATGGGTATGATTAATATATTTAAAGAAAATAAAATACATATTTGAAAATATGTGTATGGGATAAGAAACTATAAGGAAGGACAAAGCAGGTTTTGAAAATAAGTATACCTCTAGTAATAAAAAAAAAATCACTGACATTTTTTTAAATGGGGCTGGGTGCTGGTGGTTCACACCCTTAATCCTAGCTACTTGGAAAACTAAGATTAGGAGGATCACTGTTACAAGCCAAGTGGTAGAGGGAGCACCTGCCTTAGCAAGCATGAAGCCCTGAATTCAAACCCCCATATGATCCAGTCAAAAAAAGAATTAGTAGGTTAAGGACATCATTTGAATAAGGACATTTTATTCCTTATGTGAGGAAGAAAGCCATTCAGGAGAAATTTCTCAATGTCTCAAACCAGTCACAATTTCTACCATTTATTTTCCCTTAACTCATTAAGTATATACTGAGCACCTACAGTGTGCCACACACCTTTCTTGGTCAGAGATCCCAGAAACAAATAAGGCATAGATAGTTCCTGTCCTCAATTAAGGGGAGCAAGATCAGTAAATAATAGCACAAGACTAAGAGACAAGGGCTACAATGAGTAAAACTTAACCTGGCTCTAACACAGTCCTCTTTAACTGAATTCTAATTATCTTATAAGCATATTTACTGACTCTAAAGACAGAAACACTTTGCTCTTCAAAATTGTTTACCAGACAAAGTGGCAATAAGAATAAAATAGAGTTATTTTCATGTAGATTAAATCACCTCAATTACATTTTAGTTAGATCCACCCATTTGAGAGGATGGGTATCCTGTAGCTATACCAGACTCAGTGACACTCTGGGGTATTTCTTTCCTAAGTGGAAATGATAGAAATGGTTTGTTTATTCCTTTATGGCTGTCTTAATTAGTTCAAGTTGTTCCTACAGAATATTCCCCCTTCAGAAACAAATATCCTTGGATCCTTGTTTACCATATTCCGAGGATCTCCAATTCATTTTCTCTGTGCTTCTTCATGATTTCTCCCATTCTTCTGAATGCCATTCTCACATTTTCAAATGCTGTGGTTTTTTTCTCACATTTTCAAATGCTGTGGTTTGCGTATATGTGTGTTTTGTTTGTTTGTTTGTTGGTTTGTTTTTGCAGACTGCTGCCAAGCTAAAGAGCAGTATATAGAACAGTTCCAAGATACTCTGAACACTTCTGTGGCCAAGTCAATTGCTGGATTTTTTGCAGAACCAATTCAAGTGGGTATATGAACCTTAGACATTAATGCTAATGTCTCTGTGAGTTTTCCATTTTCAGGGCATTTTAACTCATTAATTCTAGAGCATTCATTGAGTGCCCATTGCTATTTTCCTCTCAAAATTCAATTCATTCTCTTGATCCCCTTAAAAAAAAAAAAAAAGCCCTTATTTTCAGTTGGCCTTCAAAGACCCACCTCCTTCATTCCCAAACAGAACACATAGGTAGATGAAACTGCTGATTTCCTAAAATCCTCAGGAAAACAAGGCTCCCATGAGTTTAGTTGTTTAACTCCCACACTATCAGGGGAGCCTTTCTTTAATCCTATCTGGTCCCCTTATTCTACATGTCCCATCCTTTTTCCAGTGGGTAGGCCGTGAGAGTAATGCCTCTTTTTTACATATTTGTAAGAGATCTACAGGCTGTTTATAAAACTTCCAGAATTTCTATCATGGTGATGATGCTAATAATCTATCTTCTTTTTTTAATGCTGTGAGATGACTTGAACTGGTTTTATAGGTCTTCTTGGTTTGGTCTTTTGCAGGGTGTGAATGGTGTTGTCCAGTACCCCAAGGGGTTTCTAAAGGAAGCCTTTAAGCTGGTGCGAGAGAGGGGAGGTGTGTGCATTGCAGACGAAGTGAGTGTCAATGCAAGGGGGCAATTTGGTGCAGTAGGAACAAGACAGACAGAGAGAAGCCTCTTCAGACCCTCCTTGTATTCCAGGCAGAAAGCAGCAACTCTGGAGTGCAGCCAAAACCAAGGAAGCTTCTGCTAGTGGGCTGGCTGGTTTGTTAGTAGATTAGTTGGTCAGATTAACAAGAACAATAGAACTTAAACATCTAAACAGATGTCAATCAAATAATTTGCTAGCAGGCATAGGTGACCCTGCCATTACTCAACATAGTTTTTTAATTATTATTCCTTTTTGAGGATTGCTGCAGAAGCACTGATAAACCATATAGGAAACTTAATCTCATAATCGAGTGTTCATCTTAATTTTTGACAAAAGGATGTTAACCAGCTTGGCAACATAAACCTTTCTGGTCAAGCTTATCTGGAAATGATATTTTAAAAAATAAATAATAATACAGCCACTAAATTAGAAGATTGCTGATATTCAGAAAATAGTTCCCCCAAACTTGTAAAATAACAGACTTGAGGCAGCACTGTTGCAATAAGCACATAGCAGCCTCAAGGGAACCACTTTGAAAGAAGTAACACTCTTTGGCTGTGTGGTTTAACTGTGTTGTTAAAAGGGATCTATTTATTTATAATTATTCCTCATATTAGAGTATATCAAAGGAAGCATCCTTTTGTTTGCTAAGAATAGCTCTGTAGATGAAAGACCAGAGTATGGTCATCAGAGACACATAAGTCCTCCCTGCTCACATGCATTATGATTGCATGAACAGGTGGTTAGACCTACCAAAGACAGGTGGTCTTGTATGTCTCATCATTGTTGTTCAGTCCTACCATCTTTGCCTAAACAATTTTTTCTCAACTAAAAATTTCTTCCAGCCGATGTTGGGCTGCCCCTTGGAAGAAATTTTGCAATCACCAGCACTTCATGCACAGCCACATCTCTGTTATACCCAGTGTGCACTGATGCCCTTGGAATTCAGGAAGCAGCTTGGCTCAGCCTCCTCTGTAGTCCCCATCCTCCCCTTCCCAACCTCCCAATAAATTAAGCAAGGTCTCGGCTGAAGAAAGCTAACCTGCCATTAACAAAAGAAGCAAACTGTACTCAATCAGTTTGAAATTAGCTCCATAAGGGAAGAGGATACAGGATACACTTTGGCCTTAGAATCAGCACATAGTGAAGCTGCCACAGTCTAGAGGGAAGATAGGCTGAATTCAAAGAAAATATGAATTTCAGAATTTTCTAAGAGATGTGGTTTCATGACTTTCAAGAATGCAATCGGAAACTGTTACACTGGATAACCTTAAGAAGGACAATCTAAGGACTGTCCTAATGAATTTGAAATTGACTGATTTTAGACAGAAAAGGTATATCCAGGATATCACCCCCTCACTGTCACAGACCTGGCTGCTCCACTCCCTATGGTGTACTCCTGACGCAAAGACGTTTGAGTTTATATACCTTAGAATGACCCATCTGTCTACTACGTATTCAGTTCTATGAAACTCGTATTTCCTAGGTGAGTAATCATGGTTTATTGTTCTACACAACCTTACTCATTGCCCAAGCAACTTGATGTTCTACCATTTATTTAGGACAATTAGTGAAATGGAAAGAAAAAGAAAGACAGGTAGGAAGATGAAATGAATGGAATTTCCTACATTAACTCATTTGGGTCAGTTAATCCGCTTGTCAGGGGTGCATAGCTAAGGAGCAAGAGAAACCCAGAATTCCAAGCCAGGTCTGTCTGACTCCCAAGTATATATATGTATATAATTGTTATACAATTTTATATATATATATAATTGTTGTACTAGGGGTACATTTGACATTTACAAAAGTTCTTACAATGTGTCATAATTGAATTAATCACTCCATCAGCTCTTCTACATTCGTCACTCACCTAAGAATAACCCCTGGAATCTGCCTTTGCTGCAGCAGTTTGAAAAGAATAGAGGAAATGAGAAGGGAGCCTGAGAAAGAAACTTACTCTTTTTCCTACATTAGATCTTCCCATGTCCATATCCCACCCCTACCCTGCAATTTGTGCATGTGTGGAGAGACAGAGCCAGAAAGAGATCAAGGAGCCTTCTCCAGAAAAGCTCAAATTAGGAATTGCTGCCACTCCTTCATTCATTCTATAAACACTAAGTGTCTTCTCTGTATCTAGCACTATGTTAGGTGCTATGGATAGAGGAATGAGACACGGTCCCTGCCACTAGACATATAGAGTGATGGTGACAGATTCTGATGGCCACATCTCCAGTGTGCCTTGAATGGAACCTACTGGGACTCAGGTGATGATGAAGCTGGGTTTCAAAAAACAAGAAGATAGTGAGATAAAAAGCAAGGAAAGGGTACTTTAGAGAGTGGGTACACATACATGAAAAGAGTAAGCTCAAATTTCAGTTCAATCACTACAATTTGTAAATTAAAGAAGTTCTGCCCTTTGCTGGGCTGGGTCTTCTTCATGTCACAGCTCTCATGAAGGGAGGAGAATAATCTATCTCTCCTACTGAGTAGCAAGTGCCCCAACCCCACTACACAGACAATAACTCCTGAATCCTCCAGCCAGGGCCAGATCCAGCATCTCTACTTTTCTCCCTGCTGCCTTGCACCCAGGAAAGGCTTATGAGGATGGTTAATCAGAATGACCCCTTTCACGTGCATTATTTAGATAGTTGTCAAGCAGCCCTGTGGTGTGCTGATATTAGAATCTCTACTTGACAAGTGAACTAACCAGTGTTGAGAAGACTTAAGAAACATAAAGAATGGCACAAAGCTGGGAAATGCTTTTGATACCTCAAAGCTCACACGCAGATCTCAGGCTTTGTCCAGCAGAGTACAAGGATGGGGGTGGGGTAGAGGAGGGAAAGAAGAAAGAAAGAGAGGGAAAAGAACAGAGACTCAGAAAAAAGTCCTGAAAGGTTTCCAATGGTTTTGAATCTGTTTTCTCTCAGGTGCAGACAGGATTCGGAAGGTTGGGTTCTCACTTCTGGGGCTTCCAAACCCACGACGTGCTGCCTGACATTGTCACCATGGCTAAAGGGATTGGGAATGGCTTTCCCATGGCAGCAGTTGTGACTACTCCAGGTAAGCCTCTCCTGACAAGTCATGCTTGCTTCTGGGCCTCCTGCACTAGCAACATTAGCATGCACATGGGCTGCACTGTGCGTGAATTACAGGCAGTGACAGGAGCCGCACTAGGCATTGTCAAGCAGACAAAAGAGAAAAATGGTCTGTCCCACAGACACAGGTCTGTCTGTGGGACAGATGGAAGAAAGCCAGCCATTTCTGCTCTTGCTGTAAGGAAAACTAATTCTCCTATCTCCCCAACTAAATGCAGAGTTCACCACACTGAGATCAGAAAATGTGCTACAAAGTCAAAACAAAACCAACCCTGAAATTTCCAACAATCATATTCTTGAAAGAAACTCTTACATGGTTACCTGGTCTTCCTATTCAATAAGCCCAAGGTCCAGAGCAGCAGATTCCTCTGTGGAGGTCTTGTCAACAAAACAGTCAAGTGCAGTAGAACTTCACTTATCCAGACACTCTATGAAAACATTAGAAATGAATTTCCCATTTGAGTGAGGCTTTACAGAGTATTATTTTCTGCAAACCACTGATTGTTAAAAATCTTCAAATTATTGTGTTTGTAGTCCCATCAGTATTAAGCACATTTATGAGCCACTAAAGAATGAAGTAGCAGTGTTTTTACTGAATTAATAAAGATACAAAAATATGATTGTAGAAGGTGAAGTACATTGAACTGAACCCAGAAGCAATCCAGAATTATATTAGTCCATCCTTCATGTGAAATTGTCTTCTTGACACTTTCTTCTTAGTCTCAAAAGCAGACTTCTAATTGAAAATTCTATACAGAATCCCTTATGTCAAGCTTTAAGGTACTTTCCAATTCATACAACACATTAATGATTTTGTTGTCAAATTTCTCATTGAGTAAATGAGAATTTGTTGTCAAATTTCTCATTGAGTAAATAAGGTATTCTTCTTTAGCCACTGTATTAACTCAGGCTGGCAAAACAAGATACCACAGACTGGGTGGCTTATATGACAGACACTTATTTTCTTGCAGATTAAAAGTCCACAACTAAGGTCCAAGCAGTGCTGGTTTCTGGTGAGGTTTCTCCTCCTGACCTTATATCCTCACATGGTCTTTCCTGTATGTGCACAAGGAAAAGACACAAAGAGTACCAGCCTTATTGGATTAGGACTCCACTCTTGTGACTCATTTAACATTAATCAACTCTTTAAAGGCACAATCTCCAAACACTGTCACATTTGGGATTAGGGCTTCAACATGTAAATTTTGAGGAGACACAGCTCAATCCATAACATCCACTATTAGGTGAGTGATGAATGAATTAGATTTGATATACAACATGAAAGTGAATGACAGGTGAATGGTGTGATGAGAGGTGATGTGTAGGAATGTGCCACTCTATCCACCTTTATTTTCCACTCCTAGAGATTGCCAAATCTTTGGCTAAACGCCTGCTTCACTTCAACACCTTTGGAGGGAACCCCGTGGCCTGCGCCATTGGATCTGTCGTGCTTGAGGTTTGTCCCTGCAATCACATTAAACATCATTCATTTCACAAGATTACTATTTTTAAACCATCCACACTATCAGAACTCTGTCACCTGGAGTTATTAAGTGGAAAGTTAATTAGTACTTCATCAATTTAAGTTACTTTTTCAGTTATCATTCTGTTTTCTCCCCTTTTTAAAATCTACATCAGATGCTTGACATATTAGATAAGGAATAATGATATATAACCAACCTCAGCTACATGGGAAAAATAAACATTTTTTTTTTCTGGCCAGGTGATAGCCCTGAAATATTTTGTTCTCTGGGTACTATATATTGTGGAGAGTTACTAGTGTCTATCCATTTTTTAGCTTAATTTTGGCACTGTATTGTGCATTTTTCTTCCTTCTTTTTCTTATACTGTCATAAATTAAAGGACCAAACAAAAACTAAATTTTATGTAATTACAGTTGGCTAATTCACCTACCATTAACAACTCTTCAGCACAATACCATTGATTTAGCCTGACCTCAGTCTATTTTTCTGTTGAAAATGTCCTTTTAAAAAAAAAAATCTTGGCTAAGCATGAATAGCTCACATTTGTAATCCTAGGTACTTACTCAGGAGGTACAGATCAGGAAGATAGAGGTTCGAAGCCAGCCCAGGCAAATAGTTCACCATACCCTATCTTGGAAATACCCAACACACACACAAAAATATATGCTAAGGAGTGACTCAAAGGCCCTGGGTTCAAATCTCAGTACTACCCCCCAAAAATTCTCCTTGCCAAAATGCATAATACTGTTTGCTAAAGTAAAGTACAACATATTTTTTGAAAAATGTCCAAAAAGTTAATAAATTTGTAGAGACAAACTTGACTAGATCAGGGGTCAGCAAGAGACATTCTACTATCTATACTTTTATAATTTGATTCGATTTTGAGCCATGAATATGATTCATCCATGCAAAAAATTTAAAAGTATTTTAAAATACAAATAAATAAGCTAAAACTGCTCTTGCTAGTTAAAAACTCATCTTCAAATATGATTTAATCATGAGATGAGAAAGTGTAGGTAGAAGTGTATCATTTATTTCATTTTGTAGACACTGCCAGCTCTATTCTTTTTTTGAGTGTTTGTCAATCTCAACCCATTTAGAAGGTAGAGAGGGTTAATAGATCTTAAAAACATCAGGATTGTCCTGGAGTCATGCAATTATTATCAGCTAAGTATAAATGAAATATATTATTATTATTGTACTGGGGATACATTGTGACACTTACCAAAATTCTTACAATATACCATAGTTAAATTTATCCCCTCCATCATTCCCTTTTATCCCCTCTCCCCTCATTCCTGGAATAGTTTCAACAGGTCTCATTTTCCATTTTCACATGAGTACATAATATTTCCACTACATTCACTCTCCTATACCATTTCCTTATATCCTTCTCCCTCCCAGTGGTACCAGCCCTCAGACAGACCTGTTTTAACCTTCCTGTTCTTCACTTTAAAAAAAAAAGACATTTTTGTTTGTATAAGATAGCTATGCAGGGAATTTCATTACAATATTTCCATGTGTATATGTATTATAAGCCAAATTGATTTATCCTCTTTATTTTTCTCCTTTCTACCTTAGTCTCCATCTTTTGATCATTTCAATAGGTTTAAAAATTCTGTATTCATTCTTGTATAGAAAGCACATCAACCATATTCACCTTCTTAACTTCCTTCTTTTACATTCCCTCTCCTGTTAGTGACCTGTTTTTCATAATATTGCTTGTATAAATGCAATATATTTCATTTGTCCTGTCAAGAATCACAGTGTCTGCTGTGAGTGGAATTTTGATGACAATCCTTTTATATCTAATAGTGCCCTGGGTCTGGGTACATATAGGGTTCAGCTCAGACAAAGAAAGCAGAGCCCTGAACTGGGGTGATTAAGCTATAAGAGCTTGTGTCTGTCTAGGGCTGCAGGATGGAAGTCACTGTCCCCAGTAGGGAAAGCATCTATGGAATTTCTTCCCTCAGAATGTTTGTCCTTTTCACCACTGCATCCCAATCCTCAGCAAAGCCTGGCACTGAGACATACCTTTATATACTTTCCAAAATTCTTTTTTTTAACATATCAAACATTTACTTTTTAAAAGAATAGATTAAGGGAAAAAAAATCATGGGGCACAGAATTATGGAATAGAAAATATAAATACAAACATAAAACTGTTTTACTAATTGTTTTATAACCACAACAAATTAGTACAGAGAAATGCCCTGTACAAAACACAATAAAGGTTCAAAGATAGAGGTGTTCCCTTAACAAGGTTGAAGATTTCATTCTCTGGCATTTGGAATTTACACTGCAGTCCTTGTTTTTGGATTGATCACTGGGTGAGTGGCAGAGTCCATGCTATTAACCAGGTTTGCACAGAAGAATGGCCACTTGACCCAGGTAGAAGTAGATGAAGTGTTTGGTTTCATGAATCACATAACTACCGAAGATCCCCCCATGACACAGTGCCAGGTGGGGGTTGTACTTCTTGTCAAACTCCTTCTTGATGTGGGCTGCAATGTCCTCTTCTATGTTATACTTCTCCAATGCCTGCGTAGCATACTCCATTGACATGTCTGCATTTTTGATGACCGGCTTTCAGCTGCACGTGGCTAACTGTGGAGCAGGGGCTGGCCAACTGCAATGGTCTCCAGGGGGAGGTGCTGGTGTGGCTCAGATCCTGAAGGAAGTGCAGCCACTATAGAAGTCTTGGTGCATCTCCCAAAATTCTTACTCACCCCTGAGTGTGGGTTCGGAGAAGACATCCTTCTACCATGACTGTTTTATTCCTTACAGAAAATCTTTGTGTAGCCCATGGTATGCCCATAGTAGGCTTTGTTATGGTTTTTTTTTTTTTCTGGTTACTTAGAACTTTTGCTATGTAAGGTTATTTGGGCCTTTCTCTCAATAGGTGATTAAAGAAGAAAATCTACAGGAAAACAGTCAAGAAGTTGGTACCTACATGTTACTAAAACTTGCTAAGCTGCGGGATGAGTTTGACATTGTTGGAGATGTCCGAGGCAAAGGCCTCATGATAGGGATAGAGATGGTGCAGGACAAGGTAGGTTCTGATCTGACACTCTCTGTGGCTAATATGGGGCCAGTAAGAGTTAAAGTAGGAAGTATCCACTGAAAGCGCACTTCATTCATTCTCGGCAAGAAACCCATGCAGACACTGAGACTCAGCAAAGTCCTTAAGGGATTAGGAGGGAGTGTTGAGTATGAACAAAATGTTAAGAGATCATAGAGAGTTCCAGAGGGATGAGGGGGATCATTGGAAAAGGAGAATTGATACTATTCTTGTCAGACAAGGCAAAGAGCATAAACACTTGGAAGTATGGGAAAGGGAAGAAATTATCTGGGGAAGCAGTGGCCCACATTGCTAGGGGAAGTAAAGAAGGGCCAGGCAAAGGCTGAAGTGAAGGTTTGGGGTGAGTTTGTTAAAGGTATGTTTGGTTCTGGTTTTGTTTGTTTGTTTGTTTGCTTGCTTGCTTTTTTGTTTGTGAATAGATTGCAATCTCCCAAGTAGACAAGGAGAGATGTATAACAATTGAACTTAGTATTATTGCTCCCAAGATCACTTTTTCTATTTTGCATCTTCCATCATTCTCCCACTACTCAACCTTAATACCACAAAATTATCTGTGATTCCTTCTATGGATGTTTTTTTTGCTATGTCTCTCAAATCCTTCTCAGTTTGTTTGTTACTGCTGCTACTGCTGACTCTAGAGTCCATGCCAAGAGAAAATCATGCCTTTCCTCTGTGGAAACAAAGCCAGGTCTTCAAAGGAGAGTTGGCATAGGAAGTTGTTGCCAGACAAACCTGATAGCCCTAACTCTTATCCCAGGGATTCAGCTTTCCTGCAAGTGATTTCTTGCTATTTGGTCTTTCCATAGTATCCTACTTGAGAAGAATTGATGCTCAATTTTTTTAATGTTCAGGCCAGACCATGGATATAACACTTCCATTAATACTACATGGCAGAGCCGGCACACAGCTGGAATATTAAAATAAGATTTGAAGACCAAGAAGAGACAAAAGGAAAATAAACTAATATGAGATGAGGCCCTCCAGCTCATGACCCGTACTGTACTTATCTTCTTCTTGTGGCCCAGTACAAGGTTATTTTAAGAGTCCCTCTTAGTTGCCACCCCAGGAGCTCCCTCAAAGCTATCCACAGTCCTTAAAGTCTAGGTTTCGGAGAGGAAAACCCAATGAGAGAGGAGGGATAGGGCTATTCCAAACCCAACATCTGCATGCTCACAGTCATATGAACAAAGATGTTCAACACAATTTTGTGATATTAAAGTGTCAGAATCCTCCCAAATGGCTACTGGTGCAGATCAAGATAAATTATGATCTATCTCTAATACTATGGCATACACACACACACACACACACACACATGACATTGGAAGGTGTTCAGACTATATTAAGGAAAAAATAAGAGCTAACAAAACACCTGCAGAATGAGCTCTTTTTCTCTCCTTTCTGCCACATTTATAAGCATGGGCTCCACCCAGATTTAAATCTCAGCTCCTCCATTCCCTAGTCCTACTTCCTATCCCCTCAATCTCATTCACTATTCTGCATCCAAATGTCACTTCAGCTTTTCTCCAGCATGGAATATGGTACTTTCCTCTCTGTCTCTACCAGTGGAGGTCCTAGTTTTCCTTAATGTCTAGCCTTGAATCATACTTCCTATGTAAGACTTGCCTTTGCTTTTTCCCTATTTGGGGACCATGACCTTCAGAGGATTTCTTGAGCACTCACTGTCTAAGGAACTCCTTTGGAAGTATCTTTTTCACTTAATTCAGCTGTTATAACAAAGTTCCATAAACTTGGTGTTTTATAAACAACAGAAGTTTGTCAACAGAAGAAACTGGGGGAGGCCCCACTGACACTTCTTCCCCTCAGCAAACCATTCCAGTAGCACTGGTCCCCTCTGACCTTGATCCCAAAAATCATATTTAACTTCTTTCCAGTTCTCACAGTTTAGTCCTAAATTATTTTAGTCTTCCCTCTCCAATAAATGAGAACCTCAGGGAAAAGCAGGGATACATGATAGAATTCTGCGTCAATAAGAAAATCCTAGTCTTTCCCCCTATACCAGTTTTCTATTATCTAATAGTCTGAAAGTTAGAATGTTATTCTCCACGTCATGTTTACGATAGAGAAAAACTGTAAATATCTCTCAAAAGTCCTGTCATAGTGTATTCTCAGATACCAACACATCACAAGGAATGAAGGATTTAGAGAAGGAGTTGGATCAGGGATTGGTGGGAAAGGGGAAGGGATGACAAAGCACAAATGGTGAGTAGGTAGGAAGCCCTGCAGAGAATAATGAAACTGAGCGCAATGGAGGGAGTCCTTTTCTACCTGAAGCACTGACCCATGAGCAAGGATCATGTCTTATGCATCCAGAACCACAGAGAAGGTCCAGTGCTGATGCTATGACTAGTATGTGTAGGAAAGAGGAGAGGCCAGGAACAGTGAGGGAACTAAAGGCTTATTGGAAAAGGATTGAAGCAGATTCCAGCCCAGTCATCTAAGGAGCATGAGGCCCAAATATTTGTTGTGTGAAAAGCTTCCTGGTAATGTAAGTACAATCATACCTGAAATGACTAAGTTAGAGGGAGGTATCTGTGCTCTCAGACTGAGAAAGCAGGGGACACACAGAAAGGATTGCAAGCCCTGCTTAATGTCACCAAAGGGGAACTGGCACGCCTGAACCTCACGAATAGAAGACCAACATCATATGCCTACAGATCAGACAAAGCCTCTTAATTGCCCAAGTGCTTGATTAAATCTTGGGAGAGAATGAGTGAGTTCCATAAAATACAGACAGATTGGCTTCACCCCAGCTCCCTGGTTGAGCTGTGGCCCAGGGAAAGCTTGGGCTGCCTGTGCCCTGGTGCAACTGTGGAGCCACTGCCTAGGCTCTGAAATGAGCTCTTTACATGGGTAGAACAGAGTGAGAAGTTGGCAAGAATTTCAACATAAGCAAAACAGACTCCAACTTCAGCTATTAAGGAACCAAATTCCCAGGGTAACTAGCAGAGCCAAGATTCACTGGCTGTCTGCATGGAACTTCATTTTGTCTTTGGGAATTTAAGATGAAGCAGAATAAAAGCAAACAATTTTTAATAACACCCTCTAAAAATCTAGTCCAGCAATTAGCAACTTTATTTAATTACAGGGACATTGATTACTTGAGTTTTGTTTTGTTTTTTCTCTTTGCTTGGGAAATAATGCCTGCAACTACTCAAACACAAGTAGAAAACGTTTTAAAAATCTATTCACAGATGAGCCGTCAGCCTCTTCCTCGTGAAGAAATAAATCAAATCCATGAGGACTGCAAAGACATGGGGCTCCTAGTGGGAAGAGGTGGCATTTTTTCTCAGGTAAGAAAAAGGCTGTGTGGTGTCTACCCTTGTCTCCCTGATGTGCCAATGCTGGCACTTCCTCTAGGGATAATGCTCAGGTATAGTAAAAAGAAAAGGGCAGTGAGGTATTCTGGCCACTAGGGGGTACTGTAGTGAAATGGTTTGGTTATCACTGTACATACGGTATGGGTGATAATAGAGTCATAACAGTCATGCAATAAATAGGTTGTCTCGTGTATGAATTAGTTCTAACCTCTGTTAAAGCAATTGTGTCCATTCTTTTTGTGTGGTGGGGGGACTTGAGTTTGAACTCAGGGCTGTGTGCTTGCAAAGCAGGTACTCTACTGCTTGAGCCATGCCTCCAGTCTAGTTGTGCCCATTCTTAACTCAACCCCAAGCTCTGACTCTGTGAACCTGCTCAGCCTTAGTGGCTATTGTGGCAGGGAGCAACCTAACAGTCCTGGCACTCCCAAATGACCCTTGCAGGAAAGGTCGGGGTTCATCTCAGGAATGATCCCTAGTGCAGAACTCAAGACTGACTACTCTCAATGCTCTTCTCCCTTGGCTGGGAGATCCAGTAGTGGTGGTCTATCTGGAAAAGGCAAGCCCACTCCACAATTACAACCCCAGTCTGGCCCTGAGCTGAGGATATGGGATGCTGCTGCCAGTGAGTAACATGACCTGCCCCTAAATCCCTCACACCAGCACTCCCCTCACAAGGATGGGCTCCAGGATAGAGACTTAAGAGTCAGGGTAACTTCTGCTCCTCCCCAATCTGTTGTTGTCCTTTGTGATCTTTCTTTCACATTTATTAATAGTTTATGGCACATAATGGTTGTACATGTTTATTGGTACCATGTATTGTCTCAAAATATGCGTATATTGTGGGATGTCCAAATCAGGGAAGGCATTCCTAGCTCCTTATTTGACATTTTTATGATGAGAATGTTAAAGTTCTTTCTTCTTGCTTTTTAAAATACACAGTATACTGCATTATTGTTATCTGGATTCACCCTACTGTGCACAGAATACCAGAACTTCTTTCTCCTGACCATAACTTAATATTTCCACTGATTTTATGTTTCTCATTCTTCCCAGTTTCCCTGCTCTGTTTCTGACAATCACAATTTCCATGGATACTGAAATACCCACTTCTTGCCTCTTGCTTCTCAGAGAAAATTGAGTCTGTCAGATAAGATCTATGTATGAATTCTATAAATATTTTCTGTTTAAATCAGATAGTATAACTGAATTATTAGAATCCGAAGACATATATATGTTAAAGTCATGACAATGAATTATTCACTCACTTAGCTATTCCTTCATTATTTGGCAAACATTTATTTTAAGTGCTAAGCAGCAGGTGATATGCTGGGAACCAAGCAACAATAATAAATAAGATCTGGTCCCTTCCTTCAGGCAGCTGATGGAAAAATATACAAACAGAAAATTATAATAAAAGGTAGTGAGTTCATCTACATAGATTAAAAGGGGTGTTATATAAGGAGAGAAAATGGATGCCCAGGCTAGCCTTTCTGGCTTAGCAGAGTCTTAACTGACACAAACAACCAAAGCACATGTAGAAATGTGGCAGAATACAAAGAGCTGTTTTACGCATGTGTGTGGCTGGAACATAAGGCTAGAAACAGTAAGAAGTCCTGTCTCTTTGTCAGACTCTGTTCTCAACACTTCGCATATATTGATTCATTCAATGCCCTCAATAAGCCTGGGAAATAAGTACTATTATTCTCCTTCTTTTATAGATAAATAAAAAGAGGCATGGAGAGGTTAAATTACCCAAGTCACACAGCTAATAAGTGGCAGAGTTAAGATTCAAACTTGGGCAATTTGATTTCTAAACCTGTCTTCTAAGAGGTATAAACCTAGGGGGACAAAGCTGGAGGCAGACAGTCTGGGGGAAAGGGACTGAGATGCTGTCTGAACGTGAGCGGTGGTATTAAGAATAGGAGACATATCCTGAGGATAATTTTGGGAGTAAAGCACATAGGGCTTGGATATGAAGTAGGAGAGAGAGTCAAGGATGAAGCCCTCATGTCTGAATTGGTTTATGGTAGATGTAAATGAATTCATCTTTGAACATGCTCCATTTAAGGCATTTATGAGCATCTGGTTCTATATTGGAGTCTGCAGCTCAGAGGAAATGTCTAGAGTGAAGAGGACAAGTTAGGGTAATAGCATATACATGGTAAGATGTGGAAATCTGGGAAGCCTAGGGTCCCAATGAGAAGCTCAGTGAGGTAAGTACAGAAACCTGGTTAAAACCAATATTTAATGAGCAGAAGGAGAGGGGGTCAAGGTGGAGACAGAAAAGGGTGAATGGTCTATGGAGAGTGAGAAGAGTGTGGGGCCATGGAAGCAGGAGAGTGGGGAGGTTCAGGAAGACAGATGGCTCAAAGTGGGAAGTGTATCCCAGGGGAATACAGTCTGAGAAATACCCAATGAAGTCCACATCTTACAGGTAACTATAGTAGAGTGGAGTTGGAAAGCTGATAGGGACAAAACCTATACTACAATGGGCTGAAATGTGAAAAGAGGAAGAAGAGAGTGACGAATAATGGTCCATAGGTCTCAACCACTTTTCTTTTTAAAGTAAGTTTAGGTAAAGCAGGAGAAAGCATTTGTATGGCAGCTAGAAGAGACCAGAGGATTAACACAGAGTGTTATTTATTGTGGTATAGATTAGGATTATGAGAGCTTTAAACCTATTTGTTGATCGAGTGAGGACAGGTTGAAGATAAATCAAAGATGCAAAAGAACACAAGGATGTTTCCTAGAGTGAAAGTGGTAGGAGTATCCAGGGTCAAGTGCACAGAATGACAAGTCGGAGTTGGACAGTCAAGACATCTCATTCTCTGAACCTTTGAGAAAAGATATTAGAATGGATATGGGAGCAAACAGGTTTATAGAAAGATCTTGCCTAGAAGCTTCAATTTTCTCTAAGATATATGAGGCATGATTATCTGTGAAATAGTAAAAAGCATAGGAATTGAGCAAGAAATCTGAGGAAAATACTAAAGGTTTCAAACGAGAAAGGAAACTGGCAGCGGATAAGAAAAAATCTCAGGGACCAGCAGAAGTTGGACACTGTGAAATCTAGTGGTGTCAATCACACAGGCTTGCTGTGTGATTTTCTTACACTTCTCAGCCATGTAAGTTGGAGCAAAACAGTTCAGCTACAGTTTTAATGGGGCTGCAACTTGACCACATGGATGCAACAGCATCAGGGTAGAAATGAATGCAAAACAGGGGTTTAGGTAAGAGAGTAGTTCAGTCAACTGTGTGCCCCAAGTTAGGTAGCAATGGAAAGAAGAAAGCTAAGTGAGGTGAAAGACCTGAAGATAATGAAGGAATGATAAGACTGAAGTTTTCCTGAAAAGGATAGGTAAAACAAGAATCATAAACTGCTTCATTCTGGGTGAAGAGAAGGCACATGGTACTGGGTGGCCTTGGATGTGAATGGATGCAGAAAGTACAGGCAAAGATTCTGAAAGTTGTAGCAATCAAGAAAGTGAATCTAGGGTGAGAGTTTTACACATGGATGGGGGGGGGTTCGCGATTGGTGAAGGCAGAAATTGAGTGTAGGAAGGGGCATAAGATCTCAGTGAAGACAGAAGGACCAGGAGTTGAACAGATGACAAAAGAAAAAGGAACAAAGCCATATGGTACAAGGATCTGTATGAGGACTAGAGGATGAATGGCCTGGATGTAGCCTGGGAAGGAAAGAGGAGGTTTACCCACCTAAAGAAATGTAAGAAATGTCATAAAAACAAGGTTTTGGATTCATAGTTTAGAATATTTTCTAAAAGCTATATTTGATTCTCTGATGACTTGTTGCTCTATTTTCCTGTCTCCTCAGACTTTCCGCCTTGTGCCACCAATGTGCGTCACTAAACCAGAAGTGGATTTTGCAGTGGAAGTGTTTCGTTCTGCCTTAATTCAACACATAGAAAGAAAAGCTAAGCAAAAATTTTAGAAATAAGAAACCACAAGCCACAAAAACTTCCCACTTATGAGCAAGAGTAAATTTGAGGAATTTCAAAGCCACTAGTATTAAGAGAAAATCTGTAGCTCTCCACAGGAGTTGTAAAAGACCTACCAGCCATATTTGTTAACAGAGATCCTACTATCTTTTTTTAAAATTTCTTTTATTCATATGTGCATACAATGTTTGGTCATTTCTCTCCCCTTTCCCCCTCCCCTGAGATCCTACTATCTTGAGAATGCCATTCTTCATAGGGAAGATCTCCAACCTTAGCTCATAGAAAAAGTCCTAATAAGCATACATTAGTCTATGATGATTTGATTCCCCTTTGTTTTAATTGGGTTACACATGAATACATGGCATGTTTTGGGGCCAACAAAGCCTAAGGAAAGTTAGGTGGAGGCAACTTCAGGGAAAGGTTTCTTCACCCTTCCCTCTTCAGCTTAAGAAAAGATGTCTTCTTGTATGACATGATAGGATTCATGGAACCACATCAGCCATCTCAGGGCCAGAAAAATAAAGCCTATTTGCTGGGGTTGGAAGGCGAATGCTGAGTGATTAGTGATGTCAATGAACCACTGAGCTCTAATTCTAGAGCCACCCTACCTCAAGGCTTCTTGAGCCCAAAGCATCCTAAGAAATGATGTATTAAACCTTAGGGAGAAAACTGACTCCCTCCTTTAACTCCCTTGAAACATCTATCAGAGCCTTCTCTCCTCTGTTCCCACTGTTGTCATCTGACCCTGGTGTAAACCCTTATTACTCCTATTACAGTCTTTATGTACAGAATTTCCCAAACCTTAGTCATTAGGATATGCATTCCCCCATATAGGACTAGCACTTGTCTTAGAAGTCACAATATTTTTAATTAATTAATTTTAATTTTCTTGGAGTTACTTAATAGTAAATGTTATATAATTACAATAAATGAGAGTGCAATCCTACTTGTCATATGCAGAAAGTAACCATAAAAACAGAGCAAACACAAGCAATGCAATCCAAGTCTAGAGAGACACAGTTTGCAAATGTTCTCAGCTAAGGATTGTTCTCTCTTCAGGAAGAAGGTTAAAAAGTATTTGAGGGGTGTTAAAAATATATTGGCAAAGTGAGACCTCCTCCTAAACACAAACCAAAGAGGGTCTGGAGAACTTAAGGGAACTAACTTTCTCAGCATGTGATTGGATATTTATTTAAAGCTGTGTCCTGGTTTTAAGCCACATCCTAATTGTCTACCCCACTGAGGTGTCTCTTCTAACACATCCTACATCTCACTGCCAGATTTGTTTCCATCAGGCATTGACTTACACATAACATCCACTAGCAAAAGAAGAAAAAAACCTCTGAGTAGTTCCTCATTGTTCCCCTGATAAGGTTAAAACCTTAACAAGGAGTTCAGTGCCCTCCAATATCCAAATAGAGCAAAAAGTTCAGAAATGTTCCATTTTGACACTGTTAAGAGTCAAATGACTTGAATTTTATATCCAATTCTCCCATTCAGTTTGCTGTAAATGACCTTGAACAAGCCTTTTAATCTTCTTAACCTCAGTCCGTTCCTAAGTACATCAGTACTGGCCCTTCCCACCTCCTGGAGTCATCTTGGGAATCACATGAGCCAGTGAGTGTAAACATTCTTTGCAAACTGATGAACTATACATAAAAGAAATCCTTTCCCTTCAAGCTAGATTTTTCTCAGTCCTTCACTACAAAATCTGTCCCAGGAACAGTTTCTGTGTTCTATTTTTATAGTTTTGCCTTCCATCTAAGCCCCAACCTCTAGGATCTCATTCCTGCCTCTCATTCCTTGGAAACAGCCTGGTCGAAAGGCCACTGGTGACTTCTTTTTGACCAAAATAATGTTTCCTTTGAAAGTTGTTTTTATCTAAACAACTGTTGCTCTTGAATAACACCATCTTTAGCTTCTGCAATGTAGTCCTTCTACTCAGATGCTCTTAGTCTCTTTCTGGAAACTCCTCCACTACAAAATTCTGTACTGAGTTATCTCTTCTTCCATGCTACACTCTCTCTATAAGCCAACTCTATCCACTTCTGAAATTTTACCCACCTTAACTATGCAGATGACTTTCAAATCCATTTCCTCAGTCCCCAACTTTGTTTTGAGCTCCAACCCCAAAATTATAGTTTTCTGGATACTTTCATTTGGATGTCACAAGACATTTCAAATTCAGTAGATTTAAAACAAACCTACAAAATCTCTCTCAGCCATTGAATCTTTTCTTTATTAATGGTATCATTTTTACCCCAGGCTCATAATTTAGGTCATCTTTTTCTCTAAGTTATCCTTTTGCTCCACATTTGACTAAATTTCATAAAAAACTTTCTTCAATATAACTTTTCCAGTATGGCTTCTTTATGCCCAAACTGCCTTCATTTGGGCCGTTCTCTGGTTAACCTACCTCCTAACTGGTATCCTTCCTAATTCATCCTCTATACTAATACCAAAACCAGTCATTCAAATTGTAAATATGATCAGTAATTGTCTCTTACATGTTTTGGGTGCTCCCCATTGCCCATGGACTCATCAACTCCAAATATTATGGCATTCCAGAGCCATAGTAAGCTGGCTTGTTCCCAAACCACCTTTTTGCTTTGTTTTCACCATTCTTTCCATATCTTGCACCTTGATTCTTTGCTTCTACAGTTCACTAGAATGTTCTTCATCTCTTTGTTGTCAGTGGAAATTATGAAATCAGAAAGCTTGGAAAAGAAAACTAACACTCTTAATGTTTCATCCAAGCCCTCCCACCTCCATCACTCCCTTTCCTTTAGATAAAGGAAAAAGGAAGAACATGGAAAACAAAGTTTATGGTAGCCATTTAGAAATTTAGCAAAATGTAAAGAAAAATAGAACTCAAATAGAAAACCAACAAAAATAACAAAAGACAAAACCCTTTCCATGTTTAGGCCAAGGTCCCTGCAGATAACAGGACATCCTCTCCTAGAAAGAGGGGTCTAAAGATTTAGTTGTTCAGATAAATTCATACAGCATATCACCTGTGACTTTCTGAGTCCTATAGGATCTTGTCCATGCCTAACTGTACATGCTGTTAGTCTCCCACTTCTAGGGGATATCTTAGTGTCAAAGCTTTAGCCTTTTCCAGCCACTAACAAAATACCTGAGAGTAGATAATTCTATAGAATAGAGATCGATTTGCCTCATAGTTCTGGAGGCTGAGAAGTCTAAGACTGGGTGGCACATCTGGTAAAGGCTGCTTTAACTCACAGTAGAAAGCAAAAGGGCAAGTGGGTATGTACTAAAGAGAAAGAATATAGTAGGCAAACTTGCTTTATCACAACCAGCTCTCACAGTAACTAATCCATTCTGGCAAGAGAAAAACCTCACTCAGAAGAGAAGGACATTAATTCACTCATAAGGGTTCCACCTGCATGACCAAACACCTGACACAAGGCCTCATTTTCCAACACTATCACATTGGGGACTAAACCTTGACATGACTTTTGGTGGAGGAAAAAAAAACATATTAAAACCATAACACAAAGCCAGCAATGGAATTCTAAAAGGCAGCCAAGTGCTAGATCTCATTTCTGAACTACAAAGGGTACCTGGTTCTACCATGTTACTGTTGATCAGAATAAACCATAACTCTTTCTTGAAGAGCAATGGGGGACTAAAGATGAATAAGCATCAGAAGCACAGGAGAAGAAAGTGCAAACATTAGGTCCTTAGAGCTTGGATGGTTGATCATTTCCATCACTGGTTTATAAACATGAAGGATTCCTCCTTTCCATTTGGAGTCGTGGGCAGGAGTTTAGCACCACCATTTTTCTCCCTTCCATTTTCTGCTCTACCCACAGGAGGTGGATATAAGCCAGCTTACATAAGGCAAGGAGCCCACATTCTTGCCAAGCTTTTTTAATGTCCTGTCTTGTTAAAACTGCCTAAAGTGAAGATAATGAACACTTAGCTCAAGTAAACTCTTTTCCACACAAGGAACATATTGATAGTTAATCATGTGATTGGAATATAGCATTAAAATTTTGGCAACTGTTTAAAAACACTTGAAATGCCAATCCACTCAGGAGGGAACATTTTTCCAAGTCACATTAAGCTTTAGCTATAGCATTAATAACAATAATTATTGTAAAATAACCCCTACAAATATATAATACTACAATGATAAGCCACACTCCTATGTGTATTATAAAAACCCCATCTTTTATAACAGTGTAGCTTTTAACTGTCCAGGAAAGCTGGATCTTAATATCCATGGGGAATTGGTTCTGGGACTCTCTGAAGATACCAAAATTAGTGATGCTCTAGTCCTTTATATAAAGTGGCATGGAATTCATATATAGTCTGTGCACATCTCCTGTATACTTTAAATTCCCTCTAGATTACTTGTAAACGTAAATTATTGTTTAGAAATAATAATGAGAAAAAAAGTTTGTACATGTTTGGTATGGATGCAATTTTTTTGAAATGTTTTTGATCCATAGTTTTTTGACACCATGGATGTGGAACCTAGGAATTCAGAGGTCAAGTTAACCTCAAAAGATATCCCTAAACCATGGGAGGACTTAACTCCTCTTCTACCTTTAAAATTCCATTTAAATCAACTTTTCTGAAAAGAAAAATAAAAGAATGATAGGAAATATCACAACATTGCCTCTTCATCATCATAGCATTAGCTGCAGAGCATCGTGGTGATTTGTGAGTGGAGCTGAAAGGCTGCTGGGCCCTGCATCCGAAGTTTGCTCTTGGTTAACTAAAGCAAAGCACAATCTGTAACCATGGCACAGTTTTGCCCCATTAGAAATGCAGATTGGATGACAGAAACAAGAGGACCACTGAATTTAGTTGAGTGAAGTCACAGAAACAAAAGCTTTAATTATTTCAATTCCTTTGAGTTCAATGAAAATAAAATAGATAGTCCCACATTGGGCTGATAGCAGATGTAAAGTGTTTGGTAGATCTGAAGGCATTGGGCAAGAAATCCAGGATGGAGAGCAGCCATGACAGAGCTCTCAGAACACAGTGTAATCAAGAATGAGTTGAGGGGCGGGATTCAAAAGGATGGGGAGGAGGAGCGTTGCAGATAGCAAGCACTCAAAAACCAAATTTGACTAGGTAAAACAATGTGACACTACAGAAGTAAACTATACA